AGCACTGGCCCCTACAGTCACAGGCTATACAGGGATCTTTGTCTTTGTGTGTGTGTTTGTGCCCCAGGTGTCTGCTGGACAGGAGGTGTGCGTGATTGAGGCCATGAAAATGCAAAACAGTCTGACAGCCAGCAGGAGTGGACAGGTGTGTGGTTTGCATGCGGAGACGCACAGCTGCATAATACATTGAACTCGCACGAACACACGCACGCAATTTCACACGTACTTGCATGCATGCCTACTCACACGTTCAAGCACACACTTTATTATTACTGTTACACTCGTTGACCTGGAAAGGCCTCGATGAGTCTCATGACTCTTTCAGCAGAGTCCTGACAAGTTTTTGTAGTGGGGGGCGGGGGAAGGCGATATTGCTATGTGTAATCTAAACTGAAAACTAATTTGTGTGTTTAGTTTGTTGTCCATCCGCCGCACCTCTGATGAGCGTGGTAGGTGCGAAAGAAGTTCAACATACCTACGCACAATGGAGTCACTTGCAAATCGTTTTTTTAGCAATGGGATGTTTGGCCAATATCAGTGACATTGTACGTGTTTTGTAGTTTTTGGTGAGGAATCCAGAGAACCTGGAGGAAATCTATGCAGAACAGCTGGAGAACATACAAAACTCCACGCAGAAAGGCTTCTGAGTTGGGAATCCAACCCAGGCACTTCTGGCTTTGAGGCGCGAGTGTTTCCACTGCAGCACCATTCTTGCTGCCTGACCTTGCCCACTCGCTCATGCACGCACTCCGGCGTTACCCTTCACTCACGTGATCTGTGGTGGTGGTGGTGGCCTCCCTCCCTCTTTCTCCCTCCCTCTTTCTCCCTCCCTCTTTCTCCCTCCCTCTTTCTCCCTCCCTCTCTCTGCCCCCTATACTCAGGTCAAGGCCATTCACTTCGCCGCCGGAGACACGGTGGGGGAGGGAGACGTCCTGGTAGAACTCGAATGAAAACCAGTGCGGAGATAGGCACAGATAGACACACAGATACACACACACTTATACGCAGATGCGCGCACACACACACAGAGATGTACATGTATGCAACAACAACCACAACCGTCATTCGCCACTAAGTGGCGGTGACGTCACCACAACGCTTGTGCCAGGCCATGTGCACCTTGAGGCCACGTGAAGTGTCGAACGCCCGCTTGCAGGAGGTCACGGGGCAGACCCAAGTGCCACGGGTCGACTGACTGAGATGACTGGCTGGTGCACCACATGTGCCCCCTACTGTGCCAACCTGCTGTGCTTTAGCCACCCGGCGCTCCGGTCGTTGTTGTGAGCGTCGCTTCTCCGTTGTTGTTGGAGGGCGACTGCCTCCAACTGCCCAGTAGCGTCCTTCACGAGCCTCCTCCACAGAGGCCGATCTTGACACTGCTGGTACCAGTCATCGGCAATTCTACTCAGCTCCACGTCCTCCTGTACCACATCACTCCATCTCTTCTCTAGCCCATGCCGCGCCCGTTTAGCCCCCTCGATCCGGCCGAACAAAAGCTGTTTCGGCATGTGGTGGCTGGGCATGCGGGCTACATGACCCAGCCAACGCAGCCTTGCCTGCTGGAGGAGCTTACCGATGGGACCTTACCCAGATCTTTCAAGGATTTGTGAGCTCCTCACACAATCCAGCCTGGTTAAACCCAGGATGGATCGTAGGCAGGCTAGCCTAAATGTTTCTAACCGGCGAAGATGTTCCATTAGGGGGGTCCACGTTTCGCAAGCGTAGAGAAGGGAGGGAATGACCGTAGCCGAGAAGACCTGAAGCTTAGTGCGGAGCGATAGACCAGGTAGCTTCCACACAGCGTTACGCAACCGATGAAAAGATATTGCCGCTCGACTGATTCGGAGTGAGACCTCTGCTGTTAAACTGGAGCCGGTCATAAGCACACTGCCCAGGTATGGGAAACTCTCCACTCTCTCCACAACTGCCCCATCACCGATTGGGAGTTGTGGGGGTAGAGTGTCCGATGGTACAAAATACCCAGGCAGGTGCTTAGTTTTGGTGGGGCTGATGGTAAGGCCCCATCTCTTAGTGGCACGCTCCAGTCTCATTAGCAGTGTCTCCAACTCCTCCTCTGAATGAGCAGCTATTACCAAATCATCGGCATACATAACGTGGTTGAGCAATAGGGAGCCATCCCTTGACATGTATGCACACATCCACACACATGCGACCCATCTCACCAGTGAATATGCAGTTATACAAACACACATGTCTACGTGCAAAGACAAAGATCCCCCGTGTAGCCTTAACAGACTGTTGGGGGCAAGTGCTGTTAGCGAGCACCTATGAAGGCTGGCACGGCACACGAGGGGGTGAGTAGACAGCACCACGCCCGGCCGCCTTTGTCTCCCGAGTGACGATGTTTACACACCGTGCCAGGTACTAATTTGAGGCCGAGTCGACCTAGGGGAGGCCCAAGACCGGTTCAGATAATCGTCACTGGTGTTGAACCCGGGTCGCTGGGTTTGTAGTGCAGCACGCTACCGCTCCCCACATGTTTCCGTTCGTCCACGCGCACACACACACACAAGCACACGCACACGCACACACACACGCGCACACACACACCCGCGTGACCCAACTCACCAGCGAGTAAGCACTTATCCGCACACACGGGCTCGGCTCTGACTCCGCATTTCAGTGCTACACGGAGCCAGTCCGGGTTTTTCTCGACATACTCGAAGGCAGCATCCGTCTGCTCGAGTGAGCGTATGTCTACGCTCGGTGATGGGGCCCCTGAGTCAGCAGTGGAAATTCCACGTTCACATGGCTGGGGCGGGCTCGTCTAGCTCGGACGACCATTGTTGACATACCACAAAGCGTTACTCATTTTAATTAATCATGGATTGGTGGTGATGGTGATGGGTTGAGTTGACCCCTGACTGGGATTTGAACTTGCGCACGCTCCACTTGTGAGTCGGGCGCTCGGAGCGCAAGCGGCGCTTCGCTGGAAGTTACTTGATTCATATTCACCTCTCTCGGCCTTTTTCTGCCGATGTTACCATGGTCAGTGCTGCTCTGCAGTCGAAATGTTACGCCCCGCCTGTGTACGACCCATTTTGTTAAAGCTGCTCAAGTTTCTGGGAAACTCCAACCGGGACACGCGTGGCGAGCTGGGATCCCTTCGCCAGCCTCGCCCACCAGCTCCCCCCCCCATCCCCCCATTTGAGTGACCGCCTCATCGCTCACAGGCCCCACCCGCTCCTCTGCCAACACCCGGCCCACTGCTCGGGAAGCCCCTCGCCCTTTACCTCGTAACGATGGGGCGAGGCCACACGGTTTCAAGCCAGGGGACAATCCCCGATTGCCGGGGCCCTCACGGCCACGGCGAGAGTTTTGGTCGCGCTCCGCGTTCAAGTCGCGCACCTGTCTTCCCCCATCGTCGCGCTCTCCACTCCGAGCGCTCCTCCTTTGTTACTCCCCCCCCTGCACCTCCGCTGAGCACGGTTGACTACGTACGGTGTGATAGAAGTGCAACATACACGCTATGTACACACTTCACACCGCCACGGTACCAAACTCTGGAACTCGTCACCCGTCACCTTCACACCACCCGGTGCTGCTAAGCTGTGGAATCCATCACCCACCTGATTTTACGTGTGTAAGTGTGTTTTTGTTAAAGTATAATAATGAATGTCAATAGCACACCACTCTGATTTGCGACGCTAATGGTATTTATGGTCACTGTGGGTCATGGAACATTTTTTTTCTTAGAAATTTTAAATCACCAGATTCCATTTAAAAAAACAAACAAACCTGTCCCGGATCAGTCGTCGGGAATTGTGGATCGCGGTTTCGTGTACTAGTTATGCGGTCTTCCAAACTCCAGTCCGTCACGACCCATCGCGCTCCGCCTTTTCCACATTTCGTGATCTCCATTTCAATACATGGCTGCATGAGCCTGGACGATTGGCAAGATCGTTCGTCCGAACCGGTGTTTTCCGAGCACCGTACGCACGGACCACCTGCATCATTTCAATCGGCACTCTCGCTCACGTATGAACCGTGTTTTTTCGGAATCGTCAGCTGTGTGGCGTGTAACGGCGGATTTTTTCATTTGAACGGAGGTGATTTGGTTAAAGGAGAGGAGAGGGCGTGACCTTAGCGGCCGTGAGCGCTGGAGCATGGGAAACTCCTACCTCTGTGGACACGTTTTTTTCGTGCGCGTACGGAGTTTGAATTGATTTGTCCTTCCCGTTTGTGGTAACGAATTATACATTTCACGTGCATCACCTGCACACTGATGTCCAGACAGAAGTTATTAACTGTGATCATTGAAGCGCTGTCGTCCCGACAGTTCTGTTCCTTCACCTGAAGAAGGCTACTTGTGTTGTGGCCGAAACGTCGTGAGAATTTTATTGTTTTATTTTTATTATTTTATTTCCATTCTACGTGACTTTACCGAAAGAACCAAGAAGATGTGATCACTGTAATTGTTTAAACTGTAAAAATATGAATCCCGGAGATGTGTGTAGTCTTTGCAAAAATCTGATTAAATGAATGTGTACATGGGGGTGTCTGTTAGTTTGTGGGTGTTGGTGTGTGCGTGTGGTTGCTGGCCACCCACGTATGCTGTGCGGGCCTTCATAGGTGCTGCTCGCGAACAACACTTGCCCCAACAGGCTATACGGCGGTGGAGCTTTGTATGTATGAGCGTGTCTAAAACTGTGTTTTGTGGCCTTGCCTTCCACATTCGCAGCAGGAGAGGAAATGCATTTGTGGTGGTTGCCAATTACTCCTCTGCGAGACGAATCTTTATGGGATGAGGGCAAGGTTTAGTCCGATGCCTTCTATGATCTCCATCCACAGCTGCTTGTTTAAAGTGCCTCAGGATAAAAAAAAATTGTAGGCACTCATCATTCCTGTGTAATTAGCGACCTGCTGTTCGGTCACATCCACAACAGCTTGGGGGGGGGGGGGGGGGTGCGTGCTGGGTTCAAGCGGCACCCTGAATCTAACCCCTAGTCCCTTGACACGGACTAACCATGGCGGTGATCTGACCACTGATGATTGGTTTGTCATCTGTAAAATACACTTGCCGTTCTTCCATTGGGGGTTTGGTATTCTACCAGGACCCCAGTCAACTCGCCCCCCCCCCCCGCCACCAATAGCCGAGTCCCAGCTCGCTGCAGAAAGTTACGTGAGAATGTCGGTTGATCCTCCCGATGCCGAGAATGGGTGAATATTGGGACCGTGACTCGCGCAGCTGCTCTGGTGTTCTGCTCGGTACGCGCATTCAACACTTCCTGACGCTTGAATACGATTAAAGTCAGAATGTATTTATACTAGAGGAATCCGATGAGCTATGAAGCTCTTTTTCACAGTTGTCCAGTAGCCAGAGATGCCCAGGAGTCATTCGACTATGAATGACTCCTGGGCAGGCGAGAACGTTGCAAGTGCAGCAGCATCACCTCGAATACCAATGCCGCAGAGAGAATAGCGATCCAATTTCTAACCCCCCTTCCCCCACCCCAGGATTACCCTCTTGGAAGAGTTGGATTCTCCCTCCGCCCAAAAAACAAAGTGGGGAGCTGACTCTGCAATGGGGGGGGGGGGGGGGGGGGGGGGGGGGGTCTTGGGAGCCTCAACGTTTGGGTTAATGAAGCCACCTGCCGAGGAGGAGTGCGAAGTGATGGAGAGCCTGACGCCTCGGAAAGGGAACTTGTTCACAGGGCCTTGTGCCGAGTGCGGTGCCCTGCACAACAACGGGGTTCCACAATTGTGCACAGGGCTGCCCTGCATGACAAGGCAGGGGTGACGAGTGTCGACGTCGCGGCTCACGATCACGACGATGGTGGTGGCGACGCGGGTTCATTAACGCATAGCTGCACATTTTCCGTGAATCCGCGCGAGAAATCACCGAGCGCTCTTTGGACGCAACGTTTGACACAATTTTTATTTATTTTCTCATTAAAGTTGTTTTTTTTCTTAACAAACATCCCTGTAAAGTTCTCACGCGTTTAACATCTTGTGACGATCTGCATGTTGTTTGTTTAATGGATACATTCATGCGCCATGCCGCCTCCCTCCCTCCCTTCCCCCCTGTGTCATGATCGGGCGCGGCCACCGAAAAACCACAGCAGCAGCCGACTGGATTCTGAGGCCCTTCCAGCCACCCCAAACCCTCATCTTTCCTCCCTCCCTCCCCCCCACGCTCGCATCTGATTTGCCCGACGCCCAGGCTCAAGGCCGCGAAAATCCCGCACGCAGCAGCACGCGCGGTTCGCCGTTACACGCTGCACGCACCCGATGATTGGTACACACGGGAAACGAACAAACCACCTGAAAAACCGTGGCTCGGCGAATTCAAACCCCGGCGCTTCTCATTCCTTTGTCACGCCCCAAACCGAGTCCTTCCAGAACCCACTTATTGTACAGCTACCGCACATGACAGCCATCTCGCGAAGCTCTTGATGAGACTCCAGAGTTTGGGAGCGATGACGCCGTTCCCGACCGGGTGACTTCACATTTCTCTCCTGAGATGTTGGCGCGGTGACGCAGAGGCAAGCGCACCGCGCTACGAACCCGGTCATCTGAATTCCATTCACGGCCACGGCCAACATTAGCGCTGAGTGATCACTGAAACTAGTCCTGGGCTTCCCGTTTTTCATATACCGACCAGCGCGGTGAAGTATGGTTAAGGACCCCCCCCCCCCCCCCCCCCCCCCCACGGAAAGCGGCAGTACCGCGCGCCTCGCCCCGTGTTACCCTGCATTTCTCCGCTCCGGGCAAAAACCCACGCGGGACTTTGTACGAAAGTATCGACACCTCCACCCCCCCCCCCCCCAAAAAAAAAATATATAATCCATTACTTCACCACTGGGTGAGAAGCGATGAGAACGTGCGCGGTTCGCCTTGGGCAAGTCGTCGGGGTGGGGGAGGATTTTGGGGGGGGGGGGGTCGATGTGAAAGTCAGCGGCGGGGAAACAAAGGCGGCCGGGTGCGATATCGGCGAACATCACGTGGCCCAATAGCCCGGGTAGGCGGCCTCCACACACGGGGCGAGCGGCGTTCGTCTCGGCTGGGAGCGCGCGCGTGAGAAATCACTTGGCCACGAACGCTCTCTTAAAGCTATCGGAGGTGGGGTGGGATCTTTGTCTTTGCCGTGTGCACGGGGCGTGGTTGCAGGCGTGCGTCGACCTCCAATGTGCACCTGGCCTGGCACACGCGCAGGTGTTGCCGTCACCGCCACTTAGGTGGGGAATTTGTTACCCTTGCTGTGGGTATCCCTGTGTACACGAGCGCTCGGTGCGGCGTGCAGAGAGCACGAGGGAGACAAAGGCGGTCGGGCGTGGTTCTGGACACACCCATGAATAGGTGCTCGCGAACAGCACCTGCTCCGGCAGACTGCATGTCTACAGCGGGGATCTTTGTCTTTGTTCATCCGTGTCGTCCTGTTTGTGTCCTCCGTGTGTGTGTGTCGGGTCGCGTGCTGCGCTACGAACCCGGCGACCCGAGTTCGATTCCCGCTAAGGACCATCAACACCAGTGACGATGATCTAAACATGTCCTGGGCCTCCCCTAGGTCGATTCGGTCTCAAATGAGTACCTGGCGCGGTGTGTAAACATTGCCACTAGGGAGACAAAGGCGGCCGGGCGTGGTGCTGGCCACTCACCCCCTCGTGTGCCGTGCCGGCCTTCATAGGTGCTCGCTAACAGCACTTGCCCCAACAGTCTGTTAAGGCTACACGGGGGATCTTTGTCTTTGTGGGGAGGGGTGGTGCAGTGGCTTGCGCACTGCGCTACGACCCCATCGTTCGATTCCCTGCCACGGCAAACATCAGTGGCAAGTGGCCTCCCTGCCTCAAAGAAAATCAGATTACTGTTATTGTTCTGGCAACGCCACCACCCCCTCGTGCGTACGTGTGCCCTTCCGTCCTTAATAGGCGCTCGCAAACAGCACGCTCCCCTACCAATTACAGCACAAATCCCATTCAAATACACAGGTTCCGTTACATGCCATACACACCGGATGATTGGTAAACACGGAAACCATTAACAGTGGACTCAGCCATCAGCCCCCTCTACGCCGAAAGTCTCAAACTGTTCACACCCCCGAGACCCCCACTCGCGAACCTACTTGCTGTACTGCCACCTTCGCACGTGAGGTCCGCAAGCCCCTTCACCGCCATGCGTTCATGGATCCCGAGTGTGGTTCTTGACCGAGTTTGAGGTCGCGGCTCACGGCTAACGTCAGCGATTCACCCCTGTGGCTTCCCCCCCCCCCCTCGTCTCAAACTCGCAGTAGCCAGCGGTGGTGAAGTATGGTCAAACACCCCACCTCCCCTCCCACCACCATGACCAACACGGCATGCGGGAAGGGAGGCTTCCCCGCCCAGCTGTGGATTAACAGACGGGCCCGTCCATGCGTTGTAATTATACAAATCACGTGAATATTACGCAAATCTTACTGCAGACAGCGCCGTGATCGGAGTCCGCGGCACGCGCGCGGTGAATGGAGATCCCCGACCCCGTCCACCCACGTGTGGATGGATGGGGAGCGAGCAGAGCACACAACCTTGCTAGACAACACTGGTAGATGATAACAACATCTGAAGTCACTTCCATGAACCGCTCTCTCGCTCTCCCTCTATCCCCCACACCCTGCCGATGTCCTGCAAACGAGCGCCCGCCAGGTGTCGGGAGACTTTGCGCAAGGCATCGCTTGCCGACCTTCACCAACACGCACTGACCAGCGCGGTGAAGTATGGTTGCATGGGGAGACACTCTCATCCAGTTCGTGGATTGACAAAAAGAGGAAGGGGGTGATGTGTAGCCCCTCGGTGACCGGGCTGAGGACCCATCAACTCCACTGCTCGTGAGAACGCGGCCTCAAACCCGGAGTCAAACCCAGAATCTCGCTTAATGGAGCCGGCCAAGTGCTCGGAACGCGGAGCCACAACAGCCACCTCGCTCGGCTCTGCGTTTTGTTTTCCCTTTCGAGATAAGGAAGCCACTGGAGCTATGCAATTCTAAATCCTCTCGATTGAAAACGAATTTCTTTAGAAGTTCTTGTTGTGTTTAGGTTGTTGTTCTCCCACTCCCCCCCCCCAGCCACCGGACCTCCGATGAGCATAGTTAGCCGAGTACGGTGCGAAAGAAGTTCAAGATGTGTATTCAGCGGCCCAATCTTTAGGGATCACTCTTAAAAAGAGCCTTATCATCATCAATCACCACCGACCTGGAGCTCCAATGCCCGTCCCGGGTTAACCTCCTGAACTCGCGGTCCCACTCACCCCACAGCCTCCTCCTCCTCCTTCCTCTTCATGATCACAACCGCGACGCTCCATCACCCTCCTGCCATCAGCTATCGCCAACCTCTTCGTTGCGTTACCCAAATCATTGCATGCAATTGCCAGCACCATCAGTTTTACCCCTCGCTTGCGAGGCCTTGGAAACACATCGACTGGACGAATACTTGTTCTATTAAACATTTTACGTCTTCATTATTATTTTGTCATAAATTTTCCACGACAATTTTTGGGTTCAGAATTGTGTGTGTTTTTTCAAAGTTTTTGCTTCCCTCTTAACGGAGCGGCGTTTCTCAAATCCCGGTCAGCCAATCATCCCCCTGTGCAACAGATACACGACGAGTGAGTACTCTACCAGTAATGTAGGAAAGCCAACGGTGCCTGTTCTAAGTAACATCCAAACCGGCTCCCGCCATACGAGTGTGGAATTTCCACATTATGGCTCCCCCGCCATATGAATGTGGAATGTCCACAATTAGCACCACGCAATCCGTGACGAGCATCCGCCCTTGTGTGTGGGGGGGGGGGGGGAAGAGACGACCGCTGTTGTGAACTCGACTCCATCAACGCTTCAAAAATCACCCAGAATGCCCCCCCACCCCTCCCAATCTCGTCACGTCTCGGCAAGCCAAGCAGGCGGGGGGGGGGGGGCTTGAGCCTGGACAAGTGCTGGGCCGGACGACTGTGACGAGCAACCAAGGGCGTCTTGACAGGCTGTGCCAAGTGCGGTGGACAACAAGAGGGCAGGGAGCACCTCGTCAACACCCACACACGCGGACCACACTCCTGTCGATCACAGCCGTGATCCCCCCACCGGCTCCTTGTTGTTGTTGTGGTTAGTTTGTTGTCCTCCCCGATTAGCACGGTTGGCCACGTACGGTGCGAAAGAAGTTCAACATACATACACACATACAATAACAAGCCGTACCGCGCAGCGTGGTAGATGGCACGGTTAAAGAGCCCCCCCCCCCCCCCATGCACATGAAGTTCATGTGAATCCCAACTCTCGTGTTAACACGCCCCGGTCTGTATGTACACAAGTGCAATGAGTGGGGGGAGGTAGGGGGGGTACACCGAGGGCCCCCCCCCACCCCCAGTGCCAACCTATCCCCCTCAACCGCAAAAACCACACCAAACCAACCAATCACTATGCGGAAAACAAACACCTCCCGCCATAAAAACGTGGAATTTCCACCAGTGCCCTTGAAGTTGCTAGCGTCCGAGCACGAAGGGGATACGGCGCTTTAACTTCTTGGAATGTCGTCCCCGCCTCCCTGCTATCCGCGCTTATCCGTACTCAGGGTAACCACGGCCCCCGCGATATCCGCACTCACACGACCACAATCCCCATTTATCCGCAACGACTATCCCGACAAGGAAGGACGTCCTCCCTTCTCTGCTCTGCCGCGTGGAGGGTTTGGACACCGGCTCACAGCGGGTGAGTTGAGCCGAGTGAAGTCTCCTGTAAATTGCCGACTTGACCTTTGTAATCGCTTCTCCGTTTCTCGTTAAGAAGAACTTAAAAGAAGACGGAGTTTGGCAGCAGCGGCGGCGGCCCGGGTTTTAATCGCGTAATATTGGCAAACCGCTCCCCCTTAAAATCAAAAGCTCGTCCCCTTTCTTCCACAACAACAACAAAAATATATAAATCGATTTTAAGTTTTGCATTTCTTAAAATAACTTTAGTTCATTTCGTTTTAATGTTAAGTGCGACTCTCAACATCTCACCCCCGAAAAACAGAGACTAGACCAACCCATTTTAATTAACCACCACCCCCCCCCCCAACAACCACCACAACCACCACCCCCCTCCTCCTCCTGTCTCTCACACAACCCGGTCATCCGCGCACCCACGTGGCTCCAACCTCTGCGTTTAACCGCCACCACGTGGTGGGCTGGAGGCGTGGGGGGGGGACCGAACCATTCTAGAGAGTGGAGGAAGGGGGGGGAGAGGGAACTCGGTATTCGTTCGGCCGCTACCAACAGGGGGAGGGGGGGGGGTAAAAACCGGCCCACGGTTGCTTAAACGACGACGCATATTTAGAATCTGTTACGAGAATAACGATCATAAATGACAGAAATGAATGAAATACTATAAAGTAAAATTAAAGTTGGTAACTATTAACACTCGTACAAAAGATCTCCGTCGTGTTTACAAAACATGGCTAAGTTCAAAAATGTTTAGAACTTTATCGTTACGTTACAATATCGTAAAAATTTGACACTAAACCTTTAGACTTTTCTATATACCTTACTTATAGAAGTATGTTTTTTTTACATTTCTTAATCATTTTTAAAACATGTTCTCTCCCTCTCTTTAAAATGTTCATACACTGTAACAAAACAATGTTAAAGTGTTAAGAGCAACAACAACAAAAAAACATCGAATCCGTGAGTGTTTTGTTTGATAAGGGTCTGTGCGGCTCCGTGTTGGGGTCAGGATCAGGGCTAAAGCCACGACCCTGAACCGGTTTAGCATCACCGTGCTCAGCTGACGTTTAGTGCAGGGCTCTGGGGGCTAACGCCATGACCCGAATCTGGCAGAACAATTGTATTGGACTGGGTGTTAGGCTCCCGACTACAATAACCACGGTTAAACTGGTCTAACTTGGTGTTCGGCTGGATGTTGTGTATGGGCTTGGATTAAGACACGCAATTTAAAAAAAGTTTGAAGTCATGTTGGATTTTAGGCTCAAGGGATCAGGGCGCTACAGCCGTGATCCTGACCCTGATGCAGCCTCGTATTGGGCTCGGCTAGATATAGTCAGGGCCAGCGACAGGTCGAGAGCTATGTGAATGGTTAAACTGCTTTAGTTCGGTGTGGGGTTTGGTTTTAGTGCGAGGGTGAGAGCCATGACTCTAACCGAGCGTGGCCTCGGTGTTGAGACTGGGTTCAGGGTCCAGTGAGGGTTCGGTGAGGGCTTACAGCCACTAAGAACCGCCCTGGCCGTGACCTCACTGTCAAGGCGAGCACCCATCCTCAACCCCAGCACCTGCCCGGCCCATTCTCATGCCCGGTCATCGCGACCCTTTGTAAAAGACACGCCACCCTTTCTACGCGTCGCGATCCTTCAGCTGCTCGTGACAAGACGACGCCCTTCACCTGGCCCCAAGACCGCCCGCGGGCTTCTTTCCGAGACGTGAACCACGAGGCACACGTGTGGATGATCTCACAGACCCCTCGGGGTGGTGGAGGTTCCACGGATCGCTGCAATTTGGGGGGCCGCGACTCGATTGCGTTTTAACGCGTCGTCGTGAATGTAAGCGCCTCCCGGTGGCCGCAGGTAGTCACGCCACACGCTCCCCACCCACCCCTCCCCGCCAATATGTATAACACACGAATAATAACCGGTTCCTCGCACCCGCCATTACTCGCACGCATCGCCGACGTTAACGACGGAGCGGTCGTAGCCGATTGAGAGCCGCCTCCGCACGCATCATCGTTACACGCCGAGCGAAGGTGGACAGCAGCGGGTGGTTGGTGGGGGGGGGAGCCGTGACATCAGAGGGGTGCTGCCTCAGGTGCCCGAGAGCGACGACGACGACGGCCACCACGAGGTCGACACGAACAAGCTCACCATCAGCACCAACTATCACCGCCACCGCCACCGCCGCCGCCGCAACCAGCAGGAGAGAACAAACTGTTGCAGTGATGGACGAATGGTTCTCGTCGTCGCCGCGTTTAACGTCTCTACTTGGCCAGGGCTCGGGGGTTTTTCCTCGCGCGCCGCCACCCGCTGGTCCGTCCGGTCTCTGGTGCGTCGAGACCGGGGGGCTGCTGCGGTTTGAAGCGCAGAGAGAGACGAGCACCCCCCCCCCCCCCCGTTCCACGCTGCAGCACGCTGGCTCCCTGGGTACACCTTCGATCGGTAACCCATCCCAATTTGGATCGCCCCCCCCCCCTTCTCTACGTTAAAACGGGATACGCGTGCACTGTACACGCGCGCGCAAGATGTGGATCCAGTGCCGACGTTGACACACCCCCTAAACATTTTAATCTGGACGATGTCACGTGGGGCAAAGACCACCCCCATACTCCCGTATTGGCTTTAAACAAGATCGCGTCAAATGTGTCGTTTAACCCGCCACCACCCGACCACAGTCATTCAGTAAGGTTTGTCACGTAAACAAAAGGTGCCAATTACTGCTTCTCAGCACGCCGGTACGTTGGAGAGTAAACCCAAAACATTTACAGACAAGACTGTTTGGGGCAAGTACGTGGACTGTTAAAACGAGCACTACCATGAAGGCCGGCAAGGCGCACAAGAGGGGAAGCTGCGGCCAGAACCACGCCCGGCCGCCTGTCTCCCGCAGTGCCGATGTTCAAGCGCCGCAGCTGGCCGAATCGACCTCGGGGTAAGCGCAGGACCGGTTCAGATATTCGCAACCCATGTTGACCATCAGCCAGAAATGGAACTCGGGTCCCTAACCGCTACGCCCACCGTTCCCCCACACGCGTCACACGGCACGCACACAAACAAATTATCTCCCATTATTTTTAAACGGACGGTTCTCTAAACATCGCATCGGGACTTGTTTACCAATCATCGGGTGCGTGCAGCAGCGCGCAACGACTCAAACCTGCGCGCGACCGGGGGGGAGAGACCCAGTAAAGCGCGGCGACTCGCGAACCACGAACCGAGTTTGCCTACGGCGTGAAGCGCCGTCTTTGGAACAAACGGCGGCGGCGGACCCCGTCACATTAAATACACGCGCGCTCGCGCACGACCAACCAGACGCGGACAAAATCCTTATCCTTAATATTGTATTTCTCGCGTCTCGCCGCGCTTTTTAGAGGGGGGGGGGGGGGGGAAGATGCAACCTCCGCAACAAAAAAAGAAATCCAGCGGAGTCTTATCCGTGCCGTGTTCCAGCGCGAGTTCGAGAAGTCTTCATCGATGCATAAGAGACGAGCAGAAGTAAAAGGTTTAGGAAGTTCCCACCGGGAAACTCCGGGGGCTAAGCGGGCGTGGGCCCCGCTACGTCTCGACACGCCCGCGGCACCGAGTTGCAACAGGAAGGTCAATCGGCAGGTCGCATGTGATGGGGGACGAAGTGTCGGTTCATTGTCAAAGACCCTCTTAGAGTACCCTCTTAGAGGGGCGCTCCCTAGAACTTCCTCTAGTGGAGGAGGGCAATTCATTATGGGAGTCGGTCATACACCTACGTCGTTAAGAGCAATTCATTGTGGGAGTCGGTCATACACCTACGTCGTTAAGAGCAATGCATTATGGGAGTCGGTCATACAACTACGTCGTTAAGAGCGATGCATTATGGGAGCTGGTCATACAACGATGTCGTTAAGAGCACTGCATTATGGGAGCTGGTCATACAACTACGTCGTTAAGAGCGATGCATTATGGTAGCCGGTCATACGTCGTTAAGAGCGATTCATTTTGGCAGCTGGTCCTACAACTGTTTAGTTAACGGCAGTGCATTACGGGAGCAGGTCCTACAACTGTATAATTAACGACAATGCATTATGGGAGCCGGTCCTCCGGCTCCCATCACTGGGTGGATACCTCGTGCTGCAGGTGGCGGCTGCCGGAGTCAATGGAGGTCAATGGAGGTCAATGGAGGTCAATGGAGGTCATTGGAGGTCATTGGAGGGCGGCAGTGTGCCAGGGGGGTTTGAAAATGGCCGCGTACGCTATCGGTGCGCGAGGGCAGCAGCGGACGGGAACTACCGGGGTAGTAGAAGATTCCACCGGCTGCCCTGCCGGACTGATACAAATAGTGGGCTGAGCTAGGTAAAAAAAAACAACCTTAGTTTCAGTTTATTTAAATTTGGTGACTTGCTTGGTATTTTCTCTATTTTGAACTATCATTTGTGTTTGTATTGTTTGTTGTTGTAACCTGCTGACCCCGCCCACATTGGACATTTAGCAAAAGAGAGCTTCATAGCTCAACGGATTCCTTCTCCGGTCTAAATATTGATTCTGTAGGTCGGCGGTTGTTTTGCCATGAAGAGTAAGAAGCGGCCATCTCTCAGCTGTTGCCTCCGCATCACGAACAAGCAGACGATTAATCCGGTCACGTGACCGTGGCCCAATCACCCACAATGCACCCGATCTCGCCGGCTCTTGAAAGTGAAGTGGGGGCGTGGGGGCACCATTGGGCAGTGCAGCAAAATCCACCGTTACTCTGTACTTGTATGCTCCACGTAAGTCTACGCTGTGCGCCTTCACCGACCCGCACTGGCCAGCGTGAAGGATGGTCACGTAAGAACCGTGACCCGCACGGCATGGTGGGGTGGGATGGCCCCCGTCCGGCAGCGGATGGACGCGAGGGCCGCGCGCGTTACGAACGGCGACCTCCAAACCTCCGACTCACTCCGCCGTCATCAAGCGGCGAGGGGCGGTGGGTCGCAAGGGGCTAGCCACACGAACCCAGCAAACGGAGTTCAATACTTGGCCACCGGTCCTCCCCGCCCTCCACTGCCACCGTTCCCCGCCCGCCCACTCGCCCTCAACCGCCACCTTCACCAACCCCAGCCCACGCGCCAATCAGCATTATGAGTTATGGTCAAACACGGGGCGGATTGACAAAGGCGGTGGAAGGGGGGGGGGGCCGTGGTTTGCGTTGAAATCGACGTGAAGGGTGGGGGGGGGGGCGAGCGTCTCGTCCGCACGGTCGCCGGCGATTCGATCCGTCGGTTGCGTCTTTCCCCCAAAACAAAAAATTTGCGGTAAAACTTAAAAAGACTACGCGATATTTATATTACTCGAAAAGAAAGTCTTGCTATTCGAAGAGGATACATGGCCGCGGCACTAAGCGGATTCGTTCCAACGCAACTCGCGGGTTTGTGTGTCTTTGCTAAATTTGCACTGTGGGGCAAAATAATATATGGGGGGAGGGGGGATGGGGGGTGGGGAGGATGGGGATAATCGATATTTATTAATATTACTTTTTTCTTTTTTAAAAAGTGCTCTCCTCTAATCGTCATAAATATTCTCTTCTCCGTATAATTTTTCTCTTCTTTCCGGCGGTGAAACGCGAGAGGCCACGCGCGGGCTGCGTTTGACGCCCCCACTCCACGCGCTCGCACCCCTCCCCGTCACCGCACTCCCCTCTCGCTCTCTCGCTCGCTCGCACCATTTCATGTAATCGTAACTTTTCTTTTTTTTTGGCCGAAAGACGACTCGGGTTTTGGTGAGGTCGAGGACTGGGTCCCCCCCCCCCCCCCCCCCCCCCCCGTGGGATTTGGCTGCGTGGGAAGTCACTTCAGCAGAACCTGGAGAGACACGGTGGGGGTGGGGGGTAGGAGCAGAGGGGTCACGGGGGAGACACGGGGGAGGCAATATACAGGGGTAGACAAAAACACGAGGGAGACAGGAGACAGGCAGGGAGAGGACATGGAGATGGAGAATGAGATGAGCATAATACGTGTGTTTGTACATGTGTATGTGTGTACATGTGTGCGTGGCTGTCTGAGAGTGTGTTTGTGACAAAGACCACCCCCCCCGTATAGCCTTCACAGACTGTTGGGGCAAGTACCGTTATCGAGCACCTATGAAGGCCAGCATCACGCCCGGCCGCCTTTGTCTCCCTCATGGCAATGTGTTATACACACCGCATCAGGTACTTTGAACCGACTGGGGAGACAAAGGCGGCCACTGGGCATGGTGCTGGCTACCCACCCCCTCGTGTGCCCGTGCTGGCCTTCATAGATGCTCGCGAACAGCACTTGCCCCAACAGTCTGTTCAGGGTATACGGAGGATCTTTGTTCGTCTTTATATGTATGTGAACACGTACAAGTGTGTTCGTGTGTTGTTTACATGGTAACGCTCATCTTCAGGGTCCAGGGCGGTGAGGCCTCCATGTTGCAGCTGTGGGGAGACACGGGGGAGACGGAGGGAGACACAGAGGGAGACAGAGGCAGACACGGGGAGTTATGGGGGAGACGCGAGACACAGGGAGTTACAGCGAGACGCAGGGTCACGAGGAAACAGGGAGACACGAGAGACCAAGAAACGCGGGACAGCACGACAAGACCTGAAAAGAGACGCAGGGAGACAAGAGGAGACACGGGGAGACACGGGGCCGATGATCCAGCGGCACTCGTGCACCGGGATTAGACTTTAACCCGGTCACGTTCAAAATCCCGCTTAACCTGAACCCCGACGGGCACGGCGCCCGCGTCGTCCAAGCCAATCAAATGCCTCCGCCAGCTCTCACCTGATTGGCCAAGGGGTTTGGCGGTCCCGACCCTGCGGAGGCAGCGGCGGCGGCCGCAGCAGCTGCGGCGGCCGCGTGGTGGTGGTGGTGGTTGTGGTGGTACATGATGGGCGCTGCTGGTACATGCGGAGACACGGGGAGCGTGGGGAGGACAAGGCGAGTCAATCTATCACCTCTTAAACAATATTTAAAATGTTTATCAGGTAAGGCCGGCCGAGCTATATGTCGCTTTCTTTCAGACACGCGACCTGGCCGCAAATGATAGCTCAACGAAGTGGCTTATCATCATGTGGAAGTGTATAGAGGCAGCCGATGCTCTAAACGCATGTTGATTGTAAATGTGGAGCGCAAACCCAGAGGACCTGGGGAAAATCCACGCTCCCACAATGGGGAGAACATGCAAACTCCAAATATACAGCAGGAGTCAGGGTCGGGATCGAACCCACAACCTCCTGTATACCAGGCGAGGTAGTTAACATCTCGCTCGTCATCACCAACATCATCACGTCAACATAGTCCACATCCTCAGTCATCACCAATATCATTGTCAACATCATCATCAATGTTATCCCCATCACGGAACATTTGTTACAACTGCCAGCATAGTCAGAAAGAGAGGAGAAAGTGAAGTCGACAACATCATTGCCAACATCAACATTGCCTTCGTCACGGTTGACATCATCATCGTCTTCATTGCAGTGACGTCCATTGTCACCGTCGCAACCAGCAATGTAATCGTCATTTACCGTGTTAATCACCGTTATAACCACCACGACCATGTCTTAAATCACTCATCCTCAACCTTTGTAACTATCACCATGATTATTATCTTGGTAATTTCGGTAAAGTCACGTAGAAGAGAAACAATAAAATAATAAAAATATAAAACAATAAAATTCTCACGACGTTTCGACTGCAACACAAGCAATCATCATCAGGTGTGAAAACCACAGCAAGAAAATTTGAAAAAAGTGGCGTTTTTTTAACGTTAGCACCACAAAGACCGATTTGGCAGTTTGTTCAGATGGACGAGTCCATCTATTTTTGATTTAAAGCTTTCGTGACTGCAGTAATTCATATTCTTAGTTTTTTCGGTAAAGTCACGTTGAAGAGAAACAACAAAATAATAAAATATATATAAAACAATGAAAAATTCTCACAACGTTTCGACCATAACTCAAACGGTCATCTTCAGGTGTGTTGGTTTGCATAAATTTATTTTTAAACGGCGCATTTATTTATTTATAAAAAACGTTAGCGTCACGCGCAGCGATTTGGCAGTTTGCCCAGGACTAGTCCATCTATATTTTGAAAAGAGGAGGGGGCAGACGAAATTTTTTATAATGTATGCTGTCTGAAAGCCACTGTAAGCGTGAACAATCAATTAAGAACTGAAATGGTTTATCAAATCTTTCCAATGATTGCTAAGATAGAATCCATCTTCTCGGTTGAAATTGTCTCTGTGCTTGTATATGTGGATAGCCTCATGAACGAATCTCTCATGGAAGCCAGATGGCTTACAAAGAACCTCCGTCTTGGAAAAGTCAATGGCATGTGAGCCCACTGAATTAGAACAATGATCTGCTACGGCCGAGGTGTTGGTCCTACCGTGTTTAAGGTCTGCTTTATGTTCACGAATGCGGTCCGAGACATGGCGTTTGGTTTCTCCAATGTAACTACTACCACAGAGGCAACTTAGTTTGTAGACACCAGGGTATTGTATGTCCGGAATCACATCTTTTACAGACGGAACCAGATCACGGATTTTATGTAATGTGTTGAAACGGACCTGGATCTTGTGTTTATTCAAGATTTTGGAGATCTTTTTTTGTGATCCCAGCAATGTAGGGTAAAGTGATGGTTTTGAAAGGCTCCTCAAGAGGGTTCTTCTTCATGGTTTGAGTGATAGCTTTCCGGATTGTATAGTCGGAGTAACCATTAGCCCTAAGAGCTTGGTGTACGTGCTTGAGTTCACTGCTTATGTGTTCCTGATTGGATATGCATTGGGCTCTATGATACAGAGTCTTGATGAGAGAATTCTTCTGTGATGGATGGTGGTGGGAATCCGGTTTCAGATAAGCATCCGTATGGGTAGCGTTCCTGTAGACAGAGTGGCTCATTGAACCATCAGGTCTCTTTTTAATTAGGACATCCAAAAAAGGTATCTTGCCATCTATTTCGACTTCCATGGTAAATCTGATGGCTGGGTGTATGGCTTTTTGTGAACACAAAGCAGACCTAAAACACGATAGGACCAACACCTCGGCCGTGGCAGATCACTGTTATAATTCAGTAGGCTCACATGACATTGACTTCTCCAAGACAGAGGTTCTTTGCAAGCCATCTGGCGACCATGAGAGATTCGTTCATGAGGCTATCCACATATACAAACACAGACAATTTCAACCGAGAAGATGGATTCTGGCTTAGCAATCATTGTAAGGATTTGATAAACCATTTCTGGTCTTAATTGATTGTTCATGCTTACGGTGGCTTTCAGACCGCATCCATTATTTGTCTCCCCCCTCCTCTTTTCCGAACATAGATGGACTCGTCCATCTGAACAAACTGTCTAATCTCTCTCCGTGGTGCTAACGTTAAAAAAAAACGCCACTTTTTTCATATTTTCTTGCCATGGTTTTCACACCTGATGATGAATGCTTGTGTTGCAGTCGAAACGTCTTGAGAATTTTATTGTTTTATGTTTTAATTATTTTATTGTTTCCCTTCTACATGACTTTACCAAAAGAACCAAGAATATGATTCCCTGCAGTCACGAAAGCTTAAAATCAAAACATCACCATAATTGTTATTAATATCATCATTATAATCAACATCCTTGTCAATCAATTCTTTAGATCGTTATCATTATCATCACCACCAAGTCACCGTTACAGTGGAGACAGTCATCATCGTCATCATCATCATCAACGCTGTGCTCACCACTGTGGGTGTTGATACGAGCGAATGGTGTCGTGTTTTGTGAACGATGTGGTTAATAGGTTGCTGCTGATAAGTTAATAGTGGTTGTTATTATGGTTGTTAAGTAATTGCCATCGTGGTTGTTGTTGTGATGTGCGTGCGTCTACTCACCGAACGTGGCTGTGGGTGCCGCCATGCAAAACATGGAACCTGCTCCCAGCACGCCGTGCGACAGGAAGCGGGGGGGGGGGGACAACATGGGAGAGGCGAGGGGTGAGCTTCCGCGACGCCGTCTCCCACACGGGGCTCGTGTCCCGACACGCACGACGACATCATCCCTCGTTCACAGAGCACACACACACGCACACGTGCAAACACATGCACACACACGTGCACACACACATGCACACACACGCACATAAAAAGACCCCCCGACCCACCCCCCCCCCTAGTTGGGGCAAGTGTTGTTTGTGAGCAACTATGAAGGCGGCACAGCACACGAGGGGGTGGGTGGCCAGCACCACGCCCTGCCGCCTTTGTCTCCCTAGTGGTGATGTTTACACACCGCACTAGGTACTTATTTGGGGCCGGGCCGACCTAGGGGAGGCCCAGGTTCAGATCATCGTCACTTGTGTTGGTCGTGAGCAGGAACTGACATCGGGTTCCTGGGTTCGTAGTGCAGTGCGCGCTCACTGCTAGCCGACCGCACCCCACTGTGCAAACACTCGCACACGAGCCCATGACGGTGATGTGACCACGGAGCCTGTGCCAGGCCAGGTGCACTTTGAGGCCATGTGAAGTGTCGAAGGCTCGCCGACAGGTCTCGGGACAGACCCAGGGTGCCATGGGTTGGTTGACTGAGATGACTGGTAAATACACCAGCTGTACTCCGTACTGTGCCAACTTGCTACCGCCCGGCGCTCCGCTCATTGTTGAGCGTCGCTCCTCTGCCCTCCATTGTTGCTGGAGGGCGACTGCCTCCAACTGCCCAGTAGTGTCCTTCACGAGCCTCCTCCACAGAGGTCAATCTTGACACTGCTGGTACCAGTTGTTGTTTCCCTTCTACGTGACTTTACCGAAATAACCAAGAATATAAGTCCACTCAGCTTCACATCCTCCCGTACCGCATCAGTCCATCTCTTCTCCAGCGCATGTTGTGCCCATTTAGCCCCCTCGATGTGGCAAAACAGAAGCTGCTTGGGCATGCGGTGGCTGGGCATGCGGGCTACATGACCCAGCCAACGCAGCCTTGCCTGCCGGAGCAGCTGATGGAAATGTGTCCAGATCTTTCAAGGATTTGTGAGCTCCTCACACAATCCAGCCTGGTTAAACCCAGGATGGATCGTAGGCATGGCAGCCTGAATGTTTCTAACCGGCGCAGATGTTCCATTAGGAGTCCACGTTTCACAAACATAGAGCATCGTGCAGCCGATGAAAAGAAAATGCCGCCCCGACTGATTCGGAGACCTCCGCTGTCAAACCGATCCACCCACAATTTCGCCGGTACACTCACTCACACACACGCTCCCGCTCCCGCCGTGCAGGTGCTCCCCACCTGGAGCCATGTAAGGCTGCGCGGCCATGTGGAGGCCGGACAGCCCCGACTGGTACGCCATGAGCGCGTGGTTGAACGTCGCTCCCAGCATGCCGTTGGGCTTGTCCATGGCCGCTCGCTTTGGTAATGGGGTCATGACCCCTGTGGGCATGGACTGAGGGACACGGGGAGACACGCGGACACATGGAGACACGGGGAGGCACGGTGACACACGTGGACGAGTGGAGACACGCGTACACAATCGTGCGCACGCACGGAAATGAAGACGTGGATGTACAGATAGACACGTGCACGCACGCACATGGAGACACAGGAGGAGACACGTAGACACATGAAGACAAATACACACACGAAGACATATATAGACACGCAAGGACACACAGTGACGTGCGTGCAGACGCACACATGCAGAAATGGAGACATGCAGATACACATGGAGATACATGGACACGCACGCATGGAGACAGACATACACACGGAAACACATGGAGACAGGTCGGCATACACATCCATGGGCAAACACACACACGTGGACACATGTAGGGATGCATACAAAAGGACACAGGCAGACACAGACATACGCATGCACAGACACTGGCATTTGCATGGACGCGGATGTATCCACGGGTGCACACAGATACACGCAAGGCCAGGACATGCAAACACATGCGCACACACGTGGTCAGATGCAGACATACACACATATCAATACAGGTGTACATGCAGACACAAAGACAAGCATACACTCAGTCACACACTCATGCAGACATAGACACAAATGTGTACACATATACATATGCACAAGTAGACCGACAGCCGAACATGCACATGCACACACATACACAAGCACACACAGACACAAGACATGCAGGTACGAACACAGACACAGGAAGACAGCCAGCTAAACACAGAAAAATCGCCCGTATAGCCTTAACAAACTGTTCCGACAAGTGCTATTATAGAACACCAATTAAGGCTGACAACACATGAGGGGGTGGGTGGCAAGCACCGTGCCCGGCCGCCTTTGTTTCCCCAGTACAGTACTGATGTTTCCACACTGCACCAGGTACTCTTTTAAGGTTGAGTCTACACAGGGGAGGCCCAGGACTAGTTCAGATATTTGTCACTGTTGGCCTCAGAGAGTTATGCGATAACCACGACAGTACCGCTCCCCTTGTATTAACAAAGATCCCCTGTACAGTCTTAACAGACTGTTGGGGAAAGTGCTGTTAGCAAGCACCTTTGAAAGACGGCATGGCACATGAGGGGGTGGGTGGCCAGCACCACGCCCGGCCACCTTTGTCTCCCCAGTAACGATGTTCATACACCGCACAAGGTACTCATTTGAGGCCGAGTCGACCTAGGGGAGGCCCAGGACCGGTTCAAATATTCGTCACTGGTGTTGGCTGTGAGCGGAAATCGAACTCTGTACACACACACTAAACACAACATCCATCACCCGCCACTAAGTGGCGGTGACGTCAACACTGCGCTTGTGGTTGGCTATGTGCACTTTAAGGCCACTTGAAGTGTCGAAGGCTCACTGGCAGGTCACTGGATAGACCCAGGTGCCATGGATTGACGGAGTGAGATGACGGGCAGATCCATTGCCTGTGCTCCCCACTGTGCCAACTTGTTGCGTTTCAGCCGCCCGGCGCGCCGCTCGTTTTGTCGCTCCACCAATCTCCGCTGTTGTTGGAGGGCAACTGCCTCCAACTGCCCAGTAGCGTCCTTCATGAAAATTGTTTTAAAGAGGCCGATCTTGACTCCACTGTTACCTCTCATTGCGTGCACAACAGGCTCCAAGTCCTCATTTGGAGGCCACATTAGGGCCACTGTAGCCAACACCTGGGGCAGGAGGTGATATTAGGCATCACTCATCTTCAAGTTGATGGGGAGATCAGCCCACAATAGCCTGGGACCCGTGGCTTCCCACACCTCACTGCCAGGCCCCCACAGTCTTTTCATTCCCTCGTTTAGAAGGAGCCACTTCCCTGCTGGTTCCACGTTAAGCTCGTGCCAAAGAGAGGGCTGCCCCCCTCCTCGTGGTCACCGGAGCCAGAACCGTTCCGCTGAAGTGGCAGGCGGCGGTACCGGTCGAGCTCCCGACAAAAGGGGGGCAGCCTCTCGAGCCCACTGAGCGTTCTGGACATTCCACGTGGCCGGCGGCGGTGATTGCCTGTTGTCTCCGGAGAAAACCCCCAAAGGATGGTGGGATGGAGGGGAGGTGTTAGTCAGTCTCCTGGCTGCACCAGCTGGGGTTTGCCAAGGAGACGTCAACGGACGCCTGTCCATTTCATGGCCTTGGGGCACACGATTATTCTGATCGTCTCCTCGATGTCCCTTCGTAGTTTGATTCAAGACGGAGGGGGTTACAGCAGCCCCAACCGCACCCATCCAGTGCACGCCTGGAGCCACCTGTGTACGCTGTGTGACCGCATAGAAAGATTCTGGACAGTAACGGTGCGATCGATTTGTCCGAGGAAAGCATCGCCTTGAGTTTTGATACTTTCTCTCAGGAGCGTCGTTGCTTCGGGAGGTTTGGCCAATTACTTAGTTTTAAACGTATTCTCTTGGGTCTTTCGTTCAAGTCACGTAGATAGGCTCAAAGACAATAACAAAAAAATAACAAACAAAAAACCACGACGTTTCGATCGCAACACAAGCGGTCGCCCTTTTTCCCCGAAGACGACCGCATGTGTTGCCATCAAAACGTCGTAGTTTTGTGTTGTTATTTTGTTGTTATTTTCTTTGAACCTATCTACGTGACTTGAACGAAAGACCAAAGAACATGAATTCCTGCAGTCACGAAAGCTTTAAGTCAAGATTTAGTTGAAACAATTACGTTTTTTTTGTCTAACTGTGGAAAGATATGACTTTAAAAAAATATATATATAAAATTAACAACTATTCGTGTGCTGGTCTCGTTCTCTTAACGGAGGTTCTACAACGCTATTCGACCGAGGCTGGGAGCATTTTCCTGTTGTCAGTAAACAGTGGGGGGGAGGGGGTTGAGCACAATAACGTTTGTGGAGAAGCTCCAATGCAACAAAACCCAGTGTCTGCAGTGTAAAGATGTGTTGCTATGAGCAAATAAATCAAATTTAAAACGACACTCATTCATCAAAGTGTTTCCGCCCACGGCAATCCGGGGCAGAGAAATTTGGACAATTTCCAAAGAAGCAAACCGTGTTTGCCCTGGCAGCTTGTTCCCCGTGTCGGCTTCCGTACAGCTAAATTAAACATTTCCGAAAACAAATGCACATTGGATATGTTACGGAATCCATGCGTACGTGTGCTTTTTCTTCCTTGTTTAACTTTTGATGGGGGGGGGGGGGGGGGGGTGCACTGGGGTACAAACGTGGCATGCGTTGGAAGGGGACGGGGGGGTTGTGTGTACCAAGTCAAAGGCCGCGTTGTAAGGTCTCTTCAGCGATTTCACTGCTGTTGGAGCCTTTTGCGTAAAAATATTATGGCCATCGGTGTGCCGGGGGGTGAGAGGTGAGTGTGTGTGTGTGTGAAGTGAGGGTGAGCGTGTACGGCGAGCGTGTGGCGAGCGTGAGTGAGTGCGGTCAGAGAGATGTGCGAGTGAATATGGAGAATGTGTGGCGACAATGTAGGAGTGGGTGTGAAAGTGTGGTGAGACAATGAGGGTGAGGGTGTGGGAGTGTGTGGTGAAAGTGTGTGTGTGCGAGGAGTGTGTACGAGCGTGTGAGTGCATGGGTTCGATGGTGTTTGTGGCGAGTGTATAGGGTGAGTGTATGGAGTGTGTGGTGACAGGGCATGTGAGTGCGGGGATCAGACGGTGTGTGTGTGGTGAGTGTACGGAGTGTGCGGTGCGGTAACAGCGTGTGTGTGGCGAGAGTGTATGAGCGCGAGTGCGTGGATTAGACGGTATGTGGCGGGTGTGTGGAGTGTGCGGTTAGTGTGTGTGTGTGACCATGTGATTGTCATTAACAGCACGTGTGTCGTTTTGAGTGTGTGAGTGCGTGTGTGCGACCATGTGATTATCATGAATAGCAGTATGTGTCAATGCGAGTATGCGAGCGTGTGCGATTTTGAGCACAGCGTGTGGTTGTGACAGCGGCAGACACAGGAAAGAGGGTAGCACAGACACATGCAGGCACGCGCACACACACATGACAATGTGTTTATGTAACAGCGATGGTTATACACACACACGTGCGCGCACGCAGGCAGATAGGAGACACATGCAATGCAAAAACAAATCAACAGGGACCCCACGTGCAGATTTGACAAAGTTAGCAACAGTGTTGCGTTGTGTCGGAGGTGGGAAGGTGTAGGTTATGGGTGATGGGGGTGAGCAGGTGGGGAAAAAGGATTGGGGGTGAAAGGGTGATGGAATGGGTAGGGCGGTGATGGGTGAGGAAGTGGGTGAGATAGTGGGGGGGGGGGTGGGTGGATGAACGAAGCGAGCGAGAGAATGGGCGGGGTGAAGCGTGAGGTGACGAGTGAGTGGGTGATGTGTTGGTTGGGAGGGTGAAAGAGTGGACGAGTGAGTGGGCAAGCAAGACAGATTTTTATGGTTGGATATAGTGATCGGGTATTCAGGTGCAAGGGGTCAGGGCGTAGGTTCAGGTATAGGGGGTCAGAATGTAGGGGTCAGAAGTTGGGGTAGGGGCAAGAGGCAGACACACGGCGTTATCATGGCAGCAGGCGTTGACAGCAGCGGTAGCAGTAGCGGTAGCAGCAGCAACAGCAGCCGTGGAGACGAGGGCAGCATCGTCATCATCATCATCAGCAGTAGCACCACCATCATCATCATCATCAGCACCATCACCACCACCATCGTCATCATCGCCACCATCACAGCGGCGGCGCAAGGCGAAGGTGGTGGCAGCGATGGCGGCGGGCGGAGGTAGTAGCAGAGGCAGCAACACGTCACGTGACCACGGCCCAGCCAATGGGGCGCGGCGCGGCCAGGGAGGGCGGCAGGGGTTTGGTTTTTGTTGTTGGTGGCAGCGGCAGGCGGTTATTGTCGCAAAGGTGAAAGGTCAAGCCGGGTGCATTATGGGTAGGAGAAAGAGGAAACAAAAAAGGGGAGGGGAGCGGAAGAGGGGGAGGGGGAAACGTTACCAAAAAAAATTGTTACAAAAAAAACGGACAAAACGCTTATTTTTTTTTAAGTCGTGTAAGCGCACGTTCATGTCGAGGGGCCCTCTGGCCTGGGGTGGCATCGTCACGTTTTGCGATGGAGGAGAACAGAGAGGCGCTTCGACCGGACTTGTCGATCAAAAAATTCCGCGTCAATTCGGCCGCGAGGCGTCGATCCCTCTCTCCTCTCTCTCTCTCTCGTGCGCGCGGTTCGAATGTCGCAAATCACAACAACCCATCCCATGCGAGCATTACAATCGCGTCTAGCTGGCAACCTTTTCCCGTGACGGAGAGAGACCCGAAGAAGCTGATCGCGGCGGTTGCTCGGCATAAGTGGAGAGAGCCCACGATCAACCCCGCGAGTGGAGCCAATGCAGCGGCAGTTTGAGCCGTTAAGAGGCATTAGCCGCGGGGAGATGTAATTGACGCTGGAATTGTTCACGGTAATTGTTGACGGTTTGGGATTAATTACCTGGAATTCTAATTACATTTTACGAGGGACGGGAGGCAAAGGTAGTGAGGCAGCGTTGTGCAGATTAATGCCAATGGTTGCGTGGGATTTTCGTGCTGGGATTCATTTCATATAATTAGGATGTAAAGACTCATTTGGTAGCATATCTACCCCACTCGCCTGCCTAGCCATGCATCCACCAACTCACCCAACTGACCCATTCATCCATCTACACAAGGATACATTCACACACTGAGTTACCAATTTACACTCCTATATCTACCCAAGCACCCACACACCGATTCACCCACACACCACTCACACACTCATTCATCTACGCACTAATCCACTCAACCATTTACTCACTCACCTACCCACCTATTCACCAACCATCTCAAGCATTGCCCCACCCACCAACTCATCCATTCACTGACCTCCCCATCCTCTCAACAACCAACTCCCCAATCTGCCCACTATTTCACCAACCTACTCACTCACCTACCCACCCTTCTATTTGCCCACGCAGTCATCCATTCACTGACCTACCCACCATTTCAACCACCCACTCACCAATCCACTCGCTCATTCACCCACCTACCCAATAACCTCTCCACACACCCATACCCACCCTCCTGCCCATCCGCCCACCCGCCGTGATGGCCATGTCCTACGCTAGGGAGACGCTGGCTATGGATGTCCTCGACATGAACGCGCTCATTACCAGAAAGCTCGTTATCGTTAATGCACGCGAGACAGCACGTGTGTAGGTGTGCGCGTGTGAGCGTGCGCGCGTGTGCGTGCGAGCATGGATGTGCGTGTGTGCGCGAGTCCACGAAGATGCATGCACAGATGTGTGTGTGTGTGCGCGCGCATACGAGTGTGAACATAGGCGTGTGTATGAACTGTGTGTGTGTGTCTTTGCCTATGTGTCTTTGCCTATGTGACGTCACCACGACGGTTGTTGTTGTTGTTGCCTATGTGGACTGTCTGCGCGTGCATCCATGCATGTGAATGTGTGTGGGGAGAGGTAGTGTAGCGGCTAGCGCGCTGCGCTACGAACCCGGAGACCCTAGTTCGATTCCCACCAAGGAAAACACCAGTGACGATTATCTGAACCGGTCGAGGGCCTCCCTTAGGTCGGCTCAGCCTCAAAATGAGTACCTGGTGCAGTGTGTAAACGTTATCCACTGGGGAGACAAAGGCGGCCGGGCGTGGTGTTGGCCACCCACCCCCTCGTTTGCCATGCCGGCCTTCATTACGTGCTCGCTAACAGCACTTGCCTCAACAGTCTGTTAAAGGCTATAGGGGGGATCTTTGTCTGGCTCAAAATGTGCGTATGTATGCCAGAGGATGCGTATGCGTGTGTGAACTGTGCCCGTAAGCATGCCTATCTGTGTGTGCACGTGCATGTATGTGTTCAAGTGTGTCCGTACGTGCGGTGTATATATACGGGTGCACGTGCACGAGTGTACATGCATGTGTGAAATGGCACCATGATTGAGCATATATGTAAGCATTTGTGGAAATGTCTGCTGAAATGTATGCTCATGGATGTGTTTATGCGAGGGAAATATCATTACAGAGGTAATATAACCCAAAAACCTCTATGATGGATATAAATATTAATTTAAACGTGCCTTGAGTGGTATTAATGTGTATGCATCATAAATTCTAAACGCGCTCGGAACGTCTGTGGTGCAGTACGCTACAAACCTGGTAACGCAAGTTAGATTTCTGACTCTGGCTGACATACGTGGCGAGTGATATCTTGACCTAGTAATGGGCCTCCCCTAGGTTAACTCGGCCTTAAATGAGCATCTGTCATGGTGTGTAAACATTAGTTCTGTAAGGAGAAACTGTGGCTGGGCATGGTCCTGGTCACACCACCCCCAACATGCTTCTTGTAAGCCTTAATAGGTGCTCGCTAACAGTCTACGTTGGCCATAACGGGGACCTTGGTTTTTTTAAATATAAGATAAGAATGTGTATTCGTATGAATATATATGTGCAATGTATGTGTATATGTATTTGTCAAGCACGGTCTGTGTACAAACGTGCGTAATGTTGCTATATGGACGAGCGTGTAAGTGTACATATTCATGTAGGTATAAATGTGTATGACCGAGCGTGTGTAAGTATACATATACGAAGGTGTGTGTGTGGACCTATTGAGGCACGTAATTGTGTGAGCATGCATGCGAATGCGTGTGTGTAACACCGCGTGTCTGTATTCGCGTGCGTGCGTACAATGTGCGTACACTGGTGACACTTAAAACATTTTCACTGACAGCCACTTGCCCCAACATTCTATACAGCTCCACTGTGGAGCTTAGTCTCTGCACACGGTGACTGTCCGTGTCGTGTTGGCGATTGATCACCTGTGCCACTGCACGGCTGAATTCCAATTCCCTCTGCCCTCGTCTGCCCCTGCCAATCTGCACTTACTGCCCAGCTGTTGCTGCCCACCAGTCCCAGCTGCCCCATGCCAGCTGTTATGCACACCCGCTGCCCACAGCTGCTGCCCACTTGTGCCGAATGCCGACAGCCTACTGCCCACTAGCATCCTCCACCTTGCTCCTGTTGCATGTGTCTAGCTGTTGCCCACCTGCCCCTTCTCCCTGCACGTCCTTGCTACCCACCTGCTCATTCTTCCTGGCCTCGTCTGTGCTGTTCTCTCAATTGTGCCCACGCTGCCCAGGGCTACTGCCCGCCCAACCAGGCCTGCTGCTGAACGCTTGCCACTCAATTACTTTTGATTCCCCACAGCTCCCTGCTGCACGTTGCCGCTGCTCACCAGCCCCTATTGTCCACATCTGCTGTCTGCACCTCGCCCACACTTCCTATTGCCGGTGCCTCCTGCACACCCACGCCCCACTGCCCGTGCCTGCCGCCCCCACCAGCACCGCCAATCTATGCCCGAGGCCAACGTGTATCCGGCTGCCCACCCAACCCACCCGCACCGCTCACGCCGACTACACAGTTACCACCGCCCACACACAACTCAAGCACTGGTGCTGGCGTGCGTCCGATCGCCCATCGCCCTTGCCCGCCTCTGCCCGCCTCTGCCCCGCCTCTGCCAGCTGCCCATCACGACCGCCGTTCGCTCCTCCTCCCCCGGGGGCCGTTACTCACCGCGATGGCGGCGGCGGCGGCCGCCTGGTTGGCCTGGTGCTGCAGGGCCTTGACCTTGGCCTGCAGGTGGAGCGGCGGGTGGAAGTAGCGGCACTTGTGGCGTGAGCAGCGGCCCTTCACGAAGTCCATGCACACGGTGACGCGCCCGTCCGCCGGGTCCAGCAGGCCCCGCTCGGGGGGGTGCGCCAGGCGGCAGTCGTCCGCCGACAGGGGGCAACCCCCACGCACAAACTCCGAGCACACCTGGTGGCGGAGGTGTGGCGGAGGGAGGCGGTGGTGGTAGGCGGTGTGGGAGCGGGTAGGCGTGATGACGACGCGATGGCTGGTTCGGTTTGGCAGTCACCTTTATTTGAGTACGAGTGTGCGTCGCCAGTATATGCTCGTCTGTGTGCGTGCATGCATGCGAGCGATTATGCCTGTACATGTGTATGACACTTCACGTGGCTTCAGTGTGCACCTAGCCTGGCACAAGCGCCGTGGTGACATCATCGCCACTTCATGGCAAACGGCGGTTGGTCTTGATATGTGTGTATGTGTGCGTGTGGGGAGTGGTAGTGTAGTGGTTAGCACGTTGTGCTACGAATCCGGTGAAAGGAGTTTAATTCCCGCTCAGGACCATTAACGGTGGTGAATAATTTTAACCGGCCCTTGGCCTTCTTCTAGGTCGACTCAGCTTAAAATGAGTACCTGGTGCAGTGTGCAAACGTCGCCATTCGGGAGACAAAGGCGGCCGGGCGTGGTGCTGGCCAACCACCACCTCGTGTACCGTGCCGGCCTTCACAGGTGCTCGCTAACAGCACTTGCCCCTACCGTCTGTCAAAGGCCATACAGGGGATCTTTGTCCGTGCGTGTCGTGCGTACGTACGTCCAGCTTGTCCGTGCGTAGGGGTCGCATCCCGGGCTGCAGGGCGCTAGCGGCCGTTGCCGCCGCCATGGCGCCGGGCGCATGCGCGTTCATGACGAGCGCCGCGTGGGTGCCCGGCATGGCGCCCCCAGCCGTGGCCAGGACATCCGGTGGGAGGTAGCCGAGGCCCGGGGTCGCCGGGGACAGGTAACTCAGGTATGGCATCGGGGAGGCCGGCTGCGAGTACATGCTCTGCGGGGTTCATGGGGTCGAGAGGACACGGTGTCGCAGGGGATAATGGGGTCGAGTGCAGCGCACGCCCAGCTTTGGTGCTGTGCATCTCCAGCAAGACGGGGGGCGGCTGTGAATCTTTACCCAGGGTGCCCCACGCGTCACTACCCATGGGGGCCATGTGTCGATTCCCATGAAAGTGCTCTTCGTGAGCACCTATGAAGGCCGGCACGGCCTTAGTGGCGATGTTTACGACCTAGGGGAGGCCCAGGACCGGTTCAGATAATCGTCTCTGGTGTGAGTGAGAATAAAACCCGGGTTGCCGGATTCGTAGCGCAGCACGCTAACCGCTACACTACCGCTCCCCATGTACGTGCAGATACAAAGAGACCCCTCCCCCCCCCTCCCAAATAGCCTCAACAGACTGTTGGGGCAAGTGCTGTTAGCGAGCACTTATGAAGGCAGACACAAAGACCTGCACACACAAGCGCACGCACACGCACGCACACACATGCACACACACGCACACACACAAACACACGCGTGCACCAGGACCGTCTAATTTTGGGGTTTTGGTGGGGGGGAAACGGGGGGGGGGGAGGCAGCGCCCTCACCAGCTGGGGGTAGGAGTGCATGGGCGCGAGCATGGAGGGCGCCATCATCTGCATGTGCGCCATAGCCGTGAGGTTCTTCTGCTGGATCAGGTTGTTTTTGCCGTTAATCTCGAGCTGCGTCTTGAGGTGCGCGGGTGGGTGCAGGTACTTGCAGTTCTCACGCGTGCAGCGGCCCTGACACAGTGACGGCACGCGCACGCAACGTGACGCACACACCCGAGGGTCCGAGCACGTACACGTATGCGTGGGGAAGGACAACAAACCAAATACAAACAGCAGTTGTGGAGGCGTACACGTGAACGATCGCACGCGTGCGCACGCACTCGCTCCCCCGCGGGCTCACTGGGACACTCGCACTCACCTGCACACGCCGATACGCTCACAAATACAAAGACCCCACCTACACCCTCAACAGGCTGTTTGGGGCAAGTCCTGTGAGCGAGCGACTATTAAGCCTGCACGGCACTGAAGGGTGCGTGGCCAGCACCGCGCCAAGCCGCCTTCGTCTCCTCCCCAGTGCTGATGTTTATACACACAGAACCAGGTACTCATTTAAGTCCGAGTCGACCTAGAGGAAGCCCAGGACTGGTTCAGATATGTGTCACCGATGTTGACCGAGGGAACCGAACTCAGGTCCTCTGGTTCGTAGTGCAGGATGGTAACCACTACGCTACCACTAAAACAATAACAGCCGCCATTCGCCACTAAGTGCCGGTGACGTCACCACGGCGCCCGTGTCAGGCCAGGTGCACTTTGAGGCCACGTGAAGTGTCGAAAGCTCGCTGACAGGAGGTCATGGGACAGACCCAGGTGTCCATGGGTTGATTGACTGAGATGCCTGGCAGAAGCACCAGCTGTGCCCCATACTGTGCCAACTTTCAGCATTTTAGCCACCTGGCACTCATTGTTGTGAGCATTGCTCCTCTGCCCTCTGTTGTTGTTGGAAAGCGACCACCTCCAACTACCCAGTAGCAGCTTCCCTCACGAGCCTACCACCACATACGCACACACACAGACACACACAACAACAACCACCGCCATTCGCCACTAAGTGGCGGTGACGTCACCACGACGCTTGTGCCAGGCCATGTGCACCTTGAGGCCACACACACACGCACGCAGACACACACACACACAGACACACACAGAGGCACAGACACACACACGCGCACACACACACGCACCTTGAGTGAGTCGAAGCAGGCTATGACGCGCCCGTGGGGGGCGCTCACGTGCTTGGGGGGGTGGGCGTAGCGACACTCCTCCGCAGTGCGCGAGCACGCGCCCCTCTGGAACTCACGGCACACCTACGCAGGCATGAGTAAACACACGACATGCGTACACACACACACACACGACACATGTACACGGGTGCGCACGCAGGTCTGGGCAGGCACACACGCAAGAGAACTCTTGCCCACGGGTTTAAATAGTTTACTCTATATTTAAGACCGAAAGAGGAAGATTTTTTTCACAATCCTGGCTAATTGCCTGATGGAGCTGGCTGTTCTAATCGCCGGCGAAACGTCACAGTACTCAGTATTGTAAACGTTGTGGGTTTACTCTCCAACACACCGGTGTGCTGAAGCAATAACTGATTGGCACGTTTTGTTTACCTGACGACGGGTTTAGCGACACGCTTTTCTATTTACAAGATCCGACTAAAAAAAATCTTATGGATCTTGCTCACGAGCATGAGTACACACACTGCGTGCACAGAGCTTGACGGATCCGGGGGGAACGGTAGTGCAGGGTTGGGGGTGTCTGGTGGGGGGGGGGCACAAAAGGGCCTAGGGGAGGGCTTCACGAGCGAGTGTTTCGGGGGGGGGGAGGGGCGACGACTCTAGAATAGGCACGTGGGACAAATTAGGTAATGGCAGTGGCGCCCGTGAGATGCGGTCACACAGCAGCGTTGCAGATCGGTGCTGGACTCTGGATGCGTGCGCGCGCTACCAATTCTACAGCCAGACACTTTTCTGCTGTGTGGAATTCGTCGAAAAAACCGTGTGCACGGGACGTCTTGGCCAATCACGCTTTTCGTGCTCCCGTTTTTTTAAAATTTACTTTCACTTTGCAAAGACACGAAAATAAGTACGTTCAACCCAGTCGGAAAGCCTCTTTGGCCGTTTGACATACGGCGGACCCCTGCTTCGCAGTCATGTACGTATGCTGAACCTCTTTCGCACCGTACGTAGCCAACCGTGCTAATCGGAGGTGCGGGAGGGAAGGACAACGCACTAAACATGGCGAGTAACACGGCTTAAATTGTACGGCGGTAGGGGCGGCACAAGGGAGGTCAGAAGAGAAGTCTGTGGGGCCACTCGGGGATGTTTGGAGAGACAGCGAGGGGGATGCGGGGGGGGGGAGGGGGGAGGCAGCAGAGGATTGGAGGCGCAGCGAGCGGGTGCCGGAGTTTGTACAGAGCCACTCAGTGGGGTCTGGAGGGGTGGTTAGGAGAGTCTAGGGGGGCTCCGAGGGATAGCGTAGAGGGACGTCTGGGGGTGGATTCGTGGATAGCGTATAAGGTAGGGGGGGGGTGTGGAGAAAGGGGTGTGGTGGGGGGAGTGCGGAGGTGGGGGTGGAGGGATGTCGAGGGGGGATGTGGAGGGGGGGTGTGGAGGGGTGTGGAGGTGGGGGGTGTGGAGGTGGGGGGTGTAGAGGTGGGGGGTGTGGAGGTGGGGGGTGTGGAAGGGTGTGGAGGTAGGGGGTGTGGGGAGGGGGGTGTGGGGGGCGGCTGTGGCCATCAGTGCGTAGGCGACGGTATAAATGAGCTTTGAGAAGAGTCGAGGGAAGTTTGGGCGAGCCTTAAGGGGGTTGCGGGGATGGGGGAGGGGGAGGGCGCTACCTCGAGCGTGAGCCACTTGGTGTCGCGGGGCACCAGGCTGATGGGGGCCACGGCCGCCACCTCGCTGTTCATGGGCCCTGCTGCGAGGGAGCTCCCCCACCGACAGTCGGCTCCTGTGGGGAGAGGGAGAGGGAGAGAGAGCGACAGAGCGTGAGTGCGTGCGAGTGCACGAGGCTTAGTAGATGCTAGGCCTACTCAGCCTTAAAAGGGCACCCGATGAACACGGTTGGCTACGTACGTACGGTGCGGGAGAAGTTCAATATACATACGCACAACAGCACTCGGTATGAGGGATGTTTGTCTTTGTGAGTGTGTACATAGGTGCGTGCATGTAGGTGTAAGAGTGCTGCGTTTAAGTATGCGAAGCGGTAGTAGCGGTTAGCGCATTACACGGCTACCCGAGTTTGATTCCTGCTAGCGACTAATTCAAGTGGCGGATATTTTAACTGGTGCTGGGCCTCCCCCTAGGTTAACTCGGCCTACCTGATGTGGTGCATAAAACATCAGTATTGGGGAGACAAAGGCGACCAGGCGTGGTGTTGGCCACCCACTCAATCGCCAACAGCAACCTGCCCCAACAGTCTATATGGAGAATCTTTGAGTTTCGAGTATGTTTACGTTGTACACGCACGTGTGAATATGGTTATATGTGTACGTATGCGCTCGTGTGTGTGTGTGTGTGTATGTCTTTGCGTGAAAAATAGGTTGGGGAATGATGGCAAAATTGGTTGGCGGCAGTGCACTTCACTAGAAACCCGGCGACCTGGGTTCAATTTCTAGCCATGCAACAGCGGCATGTGCTCCACATAAATCTGTCCAGGCTCTGCACGTTCGAAAGACTCGGCAATAAAACAAAAGGCGCCTGGTGTGGTGTCCACGCCAGCACTGGGGGGAGGCGATCGTGGCCGAGTGCGATGCCAACGCACCACGCCATCGCTTGTTGTGGCAGCCCTAATAGGCGCTTGTTAAAAACACTTGTTCCTACAGTGCATAAGGCGACAGGGGAGATGCGCGTGTTGTTTTGTGTCCAATGTAAGTCTATTTCACCGAGGCTTTCTTTCCAGTCTCATAGTTCACCTCCGATTAGCACGGTTGGCTAGGTACGGTTCAACATAGATAGCTACACAGCGGCTATCATGGGCATACGCACAGCAGGCTCATTCGACAAGATGAACAGACTGTCCAATAAACACGCAAGCAGTCACGCGAACACACAGCCCTGGATATGCAACAACTGCCGCTCGCCACAAAGTGGCAGTGACGTCACTGTGGCGCTTGTGCCAGGCTAGGCGCTCCTCAGATATGCAGGCGGTTACAGAGCCTCACAGCTGTACGGGCAGTCACACAAACACAAAGCCTCATAGACATACAAAGATCCCCCCCGTATAGCCTGTACAGACTGTTGGGGCAAGTGTTGTTAGCGAGCACCTATGAAGGCCGGCACGGCACACAAGGGGGAGGGTGACGAGCACCACGCCCGGCCGCCTTTGTCTCCCTGGTGGCGATGTTTACACATCGCACCAGGTACTCATTTGAGGCTGAGTCAACCTAAGGGAGGCCCAGGACCGGTTCAGATAATCGTCACTCGTGCTGGTCGTGAGCTAGAATAGAACTTTGGTTACCATGTCTGTAGCGCAGCGTGCTAACCACTATACTACTACTCCCCACAGTCACATAGACACACGACCTAAAGACACAGATGGTGTCAGGTGTGTTCATCTATAACAGAGGTCGTTGCCTTCTTTAAGAACACCGCGTAATTATAATGCAGGTTGAAGCACAGTCCCGTGATGACACTGTGAGATGTGTATGCAGACTGAACAAAGACTGAGGCACGTGGGTAGCATCTATAAGCATCCAGCAGCATCCCAATGCCTTGTGCGATGCTACGCCGAGGCAGCCGCTACGACCACTAATTTCTACTCGAGCGACGCAATCCTGTTCACTCTATCGCGTTATATCCAATTCGCGTCATAAAAAGACGTGTTCCCTAATACATTCATCGCGTTGTATCCAATTCGCGTTATGAAAGCATGCGCTATGGAACTGACTGTACGTACTGTGCGTCTCAGACATAAGATCCAGAGCCATTGGGGTGAAAGAAGGCACACCCTCTGGCCTCTACACTATTTCACATCTTTTTTGACCATGCAGTTCTCAAGACACTTCCTATGGTTGGTTGTGCCAGAGGAATTTTCATCTGGTAGAGATACAATGGGATGAGGCTGATCGAAGCCTCGATCTATGGATGGCTCCCTACTGGGCAACCATGTTTCGTATTATTATGGACCTGGTAATTGCTGAGTTTTAGACTGCTAACCTGGAGCAGTCCACGAATACGTGGTGTGGCCTTACGATCAACCCTACTAAAACTTAACATCCCAACACTCTTCTTTGGTTCTTTCGGTAAAGTCACGTAGAATGAGAATAAATTAATAAATTGATAAAATAAAATAACACAATAATATTCTCACGACGTTTCGGCCACAACACAAGCGGCCTTCATCAGGTGAAGGGACGAGACTGTATGATGAAATCCGCTTGTGTTGTGGCCGAAACGTCGTGAGAATATTATTGTGTTATTTTATTTTATCAATTTATTATTTTATTCTCATTCTACGTGACTTTACCGAAAGAACCAAAGAAGATGAATCATTGCAGTCACGAAAGCTTTAAATCGAAAATCCCAACACTCCACTGCCTAACACTCTGTGAGTAATAGAGTAGTTATGAAGAGTGCAGAGGAATTGATGCGTGGTTACGAATTGATGCGTCGTTACAACCTACTCGAGCATCGCCGTGATGTGTTCTAGCTCTAATATCAACGTTAACGACGAATGACGATTATCGAGAAATCGATGTCTCATCGTCTTGTAAACGTGTACACTGTTTATTGCACCGACGCTGCGCTCTGCCGCACAGCATTTCCAGTACCATTGGAGATTGCCTTAAAGTTCCTCGACTGCGGCTCACTTGCCGTAAACCTGCCCGTGGGTCGGTCCTGTAATGCCGGGTAACTTTGCAGCACACAGACGCACATAACGCCCGCAACTGTCAGTGACAGAACAAGAAGGAAATATAATTTAAATAACTTCTACAATAGTCGAGGCTCACTGCGAGCCATGATGCGTGTTACAGGGGTATTTACGTACGATACTTTGCTGGATGGACGATACGATTCTCGTGGATATGCGAAATCGTACGTTACACGTGGTAGGATCATGGCAACCCCGCGACTACCCCTAACCCTACCCCCCCCCCCCCCCCCGACATCTCCCTCCACCTCTCCACCCCGGACCCCTGGCAGGGATTGAACTCCCCCACAAGAGGGGGAGCTGCAGTGCTGGTGGCGGCACCGAGCGGTATCCATGACGATGGTGATTATTTAACGAGGCCATGGATGAGGAGACTGCGGGGGGTCAGGAGAAGGGAGGGGCACAGACGCCGCACCCCCCCCCCCACCCTCCTGACATGCCTAATTAGCCGCTAATTGGTGTAAGTGGTCGAGAAGGGGGCTCCTCCCAGGCGCACGGGGAGGGCAAAGCCACCACCTGGCACCACGTGTGTGTGTATCTGTGTGTGTGTATCCGTGTGCGTGTGTGCATCTGTGTGCGAGTGGACGGGTGCGAGGGACTGGTAACCCCTCCACATTCAATAAATTACCACTAAACCACGTCTAAAATATCTAATAGTACACCTTGCGGTGAGACAGGGTTGTCCTCTGGCTCCCACATTATATAACATATATTTTGACCACATAGTTCGTGAGGCCTTCAATAGCTGTACCGGAGGAATTTCCATCTGGTACAGAAATAATGAGAGGCTGATCGATGCCCTGGTGCGGTCAAGGGATGGCTCCCTATTGGTCAACCATGTTGTGTATGTCGATGATCCGGTAATCGCTGCTCACTCAGAGGAGGAGTTGGAGGCGCTGCTGCTAAACCTGGAGCTTGCCACTAAGAGGTGGGGCCTTACCATCAGCCCCACCAAAACTAAGCACCTGCCAGGGTATTTTGTACCATCGGACACTCCACCCCCACAACTCCCAATTGGTGATGGGGCAGTTGTGGAGAGAGTGGAGAGTTTCCCATAATTGGGCAGTGTTGTTTATGACCAGCTCCGGTTTAACAGCAGAGGTCTCACTCCGAATCAGTCGAGCGGCATTATATTTTCATCGGTTGCGTAACACTGTGTGGAAGCTACCTGGTCTGTCGCTCCGCACGAAGCTTCAGGTCTTCTCGGCCACAGTCATTCCCTTCCTTCTCTACGCTTGCGAAACGTGGACCCCCCTAATGGAACATCTTCGCCGGTGAGAAACATTTAGGGTGGTCTGCCTACGATCCACCCTGGGTTTAACCAGGCTGGATTGTGAGCTCACAAATCCTTGAAAGATCTGGACCAAGTCCCATCGGTGAGCTCCTCAGGCAGGCAAGGCTGCGTTGGCTGGGCCATGTAGCCCGCTTGCCAAATCACCGCATGCCTAAACAGCTTTTGTTCGGCCGGATCGAGGGGACTAAACGGGCGTGGCACGGGCTAGAGAAGAGATGGAGTTATGTGGTACGGAAGGATGTGGAGCTGAGTGGACTTGCCGATGACTGGTACCAGCGGTGTCTGTGGAGGAGGCTCGTGAAGGATGCTACTGGGCAGTTGGGAGGCAGTCGCCCTCCAACAACAACGGAGGGCGGAGGAGCGACGCTCACAACAACGAGCAGAGCGCCGGGTGGCTAAAGCACAGCAAGTTGGCACAGTAGGGGGCACAGGTGTTGCATCAGCCACTCAACTCAGTCAGTCGACCCGTGGCACGTCGGTCTGCCCCGTGACCTCCTGCGAGCGGGCGTTCGACACTTCACGTGGCCTCAAGGTGCACACAGCCTGGCACAAGCGTTGTGACGTCGCCGCCACTTAAGTGGCGAATGGCGGTTGTTGTTGTTGAGTGGGAGGCGGTAATGTAGTGGTTAGCAGTAGTGCTGCGCTACGAACCTAGCGACCCGAGTTTGATTCCCGCTCATGGCTAACACCGACGACGATTATTTGAACTGGTCCTGGGCCTCCCCGAGGTCGACTCGGCCTCAAATGGTTACCTGATACGGTGTGTGAACATCGCGACTTTGGAAGCAAAGGCGGTCTAAGCGTGGTGCTGGCCACCCACCCTCTCGTGTATCGTGTCAGCCTTCACAGGTGCTCGCTAACAGCACTTGCCCCAAAAGTCTGTTAAGGCTACACAGGGGGATCTTTGTCTTTGTGTATGTGTGTGAGGATATCTTGGTGTGAGTATCTAGTAGGTGTGTGTGTGTGATTGTGGATAACTCCCACACACACACGCCATAAGATCCAGAGCCATTAGGGTGAAAGAAGGCACACCCTCTGGCCGCTACACTATTTCACATCTTTTTTGACCATGCAGTTCTCAGACACTTCCTATGGTTGGTTGTGCCAGAGGAATTTTCATCTGGTAGAGATACAATGGGATGAGGCTGATCGAAGCCTCGGTCTATGGATGGCTCCCTACTGGGCAACCATGTTTCGTATTATTATGGACCTGGTAATTGCTGAGTTTTAGACTGCTAACCTGGAGCAGTCCACGAATACGTGGTGTGGCCTTACGATCAACCATACTAAAACTTAACATCCCAACACTCCACTGCCTAACACTCTGTGAGTAATAGAGTAGTTATGAAGAGTGCAGAGGAGATCCCATATCTGGGCAATTTTCTGGTGTGTGGTAACACAAGTCTCACTCAGTCGAGCAGCCTTATCTTTCCATCCACTGTGTAACACTACGCTGGCCGTGACGCTGCCCGGTCTGCTTGGACACAGTTATGCCCTCTTTGCCCTGTGCTTACAAAACATGAAACTGGAACATCTGCGCCGGCTTTAAAAATTCAGGCTGTCCTGCCTACTATCCATCCCAGATTTAACCAGACTGGATTGTGCGAAGAGCTCATCCTTGACATATCTGGACGGAGTACCGTCTGCGAGTTCCTCCAACGGGCGAGGCTGCAGGGCTTGGTCATGTAGCTTCCATGTACCCCAGCCACCGAATGACCAAGCGGCTTCTATTTGGCTGGATAGAGGGGGCTACACACAAACAACACGGGCTAGAGCAGGGGCTATTGTCCGAGTGTAGGGTGTGTTCGTGCGTCGGTCTGTGTGTGTGGTTGCGGAGAGCGGTCGGATAGTGCTTAGCAAATTGCGCCACGAAATCCGCTGACCTGAGTTCAATTCCATTTTAAAGCAAACAATGCCAATTATGTGAACTGGTAAACGGGCCTCAGGTAGGTCGACAGACACTAAAATTAGTACCTGGTGCGGCGTGTACACATCCGTACTGGGGAGATAAAAGCACTCGGACTCGCATCAATAGATGAACGCTGACAGTGCTTTCCTCAGCATTCTGTTGGCTATGTGGGGGATCTTTACCTTTTTGGATGTTTGGGTTTGCATGCATGCATGCATGAGCATATGTGCGGATGTGTGAATGTGTGTGCAGTGCACTGATTAGCACGCTGTGCGACAATCCCGATTCCCGCTCACGGGCAACACCAGTGACAATTATATGAACCAGTCCTGGGCCTCCCCTAGGTCGACTCAGCCTTAATTGAGTACCTGATGCATTGTGTAAACATCGCCACAAGGGAGACAAAGATGGACCGGCGTGGCGCTGGCCACCCAGCCCCTCGTGTGCCATGCTGGCCTTCATAGGTGCTACTTGCTAACAGCACTTGCCCCAACAGTCTGTTAAGGCTATATGGGGGATATTTTTCTTTGCCTTTGCAGTTGCGCGTGAATGTGGCCATATGTGCGTGTGTCCTTTTGGGGGCGTGGTAGTGCTGTGGTTGGTGCACTGCACTACGAGCCCAGTGACGCGAGTTTACTTCCCACTTACAACCAACAAAATTGCCGGCAAATATTCAAACCGGTATTGGGAACTCCCCGAGGTCGACGCTGGTGCAAGCTTCAGCATTGGGGAGGCAAAGGCGGCCGGGCGTGGCGTTGTCACCTACTGCGTAGTGTACCGAACTGGGCTAACTAACGCTTGCTTGCAGCACTTGCCCCAACAGCCGTAGCATGCTATGCGGGGGGGGGGGGGGGGGGAGGAATGGATTTGTCACTGTAGCAACATTCTCGTAATGTTCCACAATCCGAACCTCGTAGACAGCAACCTGGACTCAATCCCCGCTACCTGTTATCTACACCGGCCAGTTCCTCCCCCAAGTCAAGTTCACGGTGGCATCTTGTTCAACGTCAAAGGCGGCCAGGTAGTCGTCATCCTTCTGGCCACGGCATCGGTGCTGGCCACGGCACCGGCACCAGCCCTTTCGAGTCGACGGTTACAGGTGCTCGCTAATACGACTGTCTCGGCGCCATTACGTAACACAGTATAAACGCTGCGGTGGCGCGGCGGTTGGCACACCGAGCTCATAACCCGGCAAACCCCGAGCAGGATACCAGGCTCCCGCCTCTCACCAATGTGCACTGAGACAAGCGTGGTGAAGTATGGTCACATCAACCCTCATGACCCATGCAGCAGTGGAGCGAGGAAGGGCGGTACATTGCATTTACACCGCAAAACGTGTGCAAAACTCTACGATGCCCGAAGGCAGCTACGGTGACTCTTTATAAACTTCAAACGGATTGTGTAACGTGACTCCTCGCTTCCATTCTGATACCATTTATCAGAATGGAAGCAATGGCACACTTAGACCAAAACAAGCAAAAGCTATGGGCAGGGCCCGGGAGGAGAACCCACAGACTCGTCACTATTCACTTCAAGACTCCCCACAAAGCGATGATTCAGACACAATGTTGGGGTTAAGATTCGACTCTAGGAATCCACATTTTTGTATTGTCTGTACTGTCGGTCTCGTTTGTACGATTCTATATTGTTCATACGGTGCCTCGTTGATTTTGTGTCCGCTCGCTTGTTCAGCATCCGGTGAGCTATGAAGCTCTTTTTCACAGATGTCCAGTGGAGGCATGGGGTCAGAAAGTTACAACAAACAATACAAAAATACGATCGGAGTGCAAAGTTACGGAAAGGTAAGCAAATGAGTAAAAATAAACCAAAACTAAACAATGTTTAATTTAATCAGGTTAAGCCCACTTAGCTATTAGTTATTTCTCCCAAGTGACCGGGCCACAAATGATAGCTCAACGAAAGTGGCTCATCACGTGGAAATGTACAGCAGCCAAAATATATAAATAGCTGCGCAATGAGGCATCGATTTACCATTTTAAAAGAAATGATCACGCTCACTATTCAGAGACGGGTGACAGAACGGCAGCCGAAGGAGGCAACGCACCCCAGACGATGGCCGCTGTGCAGATGTAGCGATGAGTTCCGCCCATGCACAGGAGTGCGATGGAGTGCGATGGATCGCTAGTACGGGTTGTAACATTTCGGGAGCGACTGGGTTAGGCCTTGGTCCAGAAGTGTCTCGACCATGGCTGCTGCTGCTGCTGCTTTATGTTATGTTTAGGCGAATGGAGCAAACAAGACTGCATAGGCGACCCCGCCCCCCCCAAAAAAGTGACAAAAATAGAATTGAATCTGGAATCGAATCGCGACACCGAATCGCGAGAATCAATTGAAACTGGGGCAGGGTGGTGCTAGGCGGGGAGTGAATTATTCGGTGCCCATGAATACAATCTCCGTCGCAATCATCGCTACGTGGACAATTCCCCTGACTAATCTCTCTTCTCCCTTTCCTCCTCTCCCTCTCTGTCCCAGCCCCATCTCTACCCCCTCTTTCCCTCGCTGGGGAAATCTGGCTCGAATCCCCTGTTGTCCGGGCTGCGATCGATTCGAGAGACGGGCAGGGGGAGGGAGTGATACTGTAGAACGTGGTGGTGGTGGTGATGTAAGAGTAAAGGTTGTGCCTGTAAGGTGAGAGTGGAGTGGTACAGGGAACAGGGATGCGGGACAGTGGTGAGAGTGAGCGTGCAGCACGGTGGTGGGAGAGACCGAGTGAGAGGAGTGAACACGTTGATGGGAAGGAGAGAGTGTTTGTGGTGAGAGAGTGCGAGAGGATCGCGGGTGAGAGCGAGTGAGAAAGCGAGGAGCAATGTGATGGAGAGGGGGGGGGGGGTATGAGTTCAGCGTGCTACGCTACGAACCCGGTGATCCAAATTCGATTCCCGCTCGTGACCGACACCGGTAACGATTATCAGAACCGGTCCTGGGCTTCCCTTAGGTCGACTCGGCCTCAAATGAATACCTGGTGCGATGTGTAAACATCGCCACTGGAGAGACAAAGGCGGCCAGGCGTGGTGTTGATCACCTACTGCATAGTGTACTGAGCCGGCCATAACAGATGCTCGCTTGCAGCATTTTTCCCCATCAGTCTGTTAAGTCTACACGGGGGAGGCAGTGGGTTTCTTTGTCTTTCGAGGCCCTAATAAAAGCGAACCAATTGGCAAAAACGACTATACCGTGTACGAATATCATGCAGTGCGTTCACGTGACATCTGCAGCCAACCGAGGCCACTACACTCACCCAAGTATAAAGGGAACGGAATCTCTTCTTGCATCGAACTTGGGACGTTGAATCGCGAAAACAGCCACAATCTGATGGAGGGGTGGGGGTAGGGGGGGGGCGGAGCGGGGGTGTCGCGCATCTCTTCAATTTTTGTGAATTATCCGAGCGCTGTGCATTTTGTAGTGCCTCTTAGTGGCTTGCAAGTGTCACGCGAGCTCCTCGCACACACAACGCAGTGATAATTTATAGGCCACGGGCCACAAAAAACCACCCCAGTCCTGTAATATAAACGTCTTGTGGCCAAACAGGGCAAGCACACCTGTGCAATTACGTCAATTGGGTGTCACCTTTATATAGGCGTAGCGACACAGACTATGTTATCATATAATTACAATACAAAGTGATATATGCGGCATATTAATGTGACCGCATATTAAGACACTGTACAGATGGAGGGGGAATGTTTATTTTATGCAGAGGCAGGCAGTAACAGTTGGCTAAATTAATCTAGAGTGTCCATGTGGGTATATGCGTCTATGATCGGCCTCTGTGGAGGAGGCTCGTGAAGGATGCTTCCGGGCAGTTGGAGGCAGTCGTCCTCCAGCAACAGCGGAGGGCAGAGGAGCAACACTCACAACTAGGAACAGAGCGGGGGTGTATAAAACGCAGCAAGTCGGCACACTAGGGAGAAAAGGTAGTGCATCTGCCAGTCATCTCAGTCAATGAACCCATGGCACCTGGGTCTGTCCCGTGACCTCCTGCCAGCAAGCCTTCGACACTTCACAGGGTTTCCAGGTGCAACAAGCGTGGCACAAGCGCCATGGTGACCTCACCGCTATGTAGTGTTGTGGTTGTCTCGATTTGAGACTGTAGCTCACTATGCGAGTATGGGCTTTTGATTGAGTCTATGGGTCTATGCGAGTTTGGGGTCTCTGTGTGAGTAAATGCAATACAATAAGGATTCATATAATAGATTTTCAGTGAGGCCACTTCATGATCTGGACACATTTGTAGGTTGCGTAACCCTCCGCGACCCGACAAAACCATAATAATTAAATTGGCTTGTGTAAAAGCGTTGATCATGCTACATTTTTTTGTTTAAGCTCACCAGTAAGTTGAAGAACAATTCTCACATCCAAATGTAGCTGTCAGACACAGCGTTTAATTTGAAACTACGTCAAGAAACCTCAGGTCATTGATGGCGCATTTCTTGGCTTACTTATTTTATAGAGAGACGCAGTCGGTTGTAGGCAGAGAAAAGAAGAGGAGTCTAGCCTGGATGTGAACAGGAGGCAGAAAGTATCCGGAACGGATGGCCGGGGAGAAGGGCATTTCAGACTATGGAAGCAGCAGAGAAGAATGAATGACTTGGCCATATTAGACATTGCAAATGCAACAGCATAATCGAGGCTAATTCATGATTAAAATTGCTAACTCTAATTGTGATTATTCATTGAATCGTGTACATGTGTGTCCAGTGACTGGTCAGCATATTTACGTATAGAATCTAAACAAATCTAACTATAACGCAAATGAAAGTGTCGTAACAAAACGAACACAGGACATCCGCTCCCAAGTGATGGACGCAGATTGAAATATACAAACGAACTATTCTGTACGTGCCTATGACCAAATTTCCTGGAATGTGCCCATTCTCAAGAGGTTAAGCAGGCTTGAGCCTGCGTAGTGCATGTATCTACGCTTTCCGCCTTCACCACAACCCGCATCTCAGGCTTAATTCCCTTCAATGCTCAAGGCTGGCACAGACTGCCATTGGAAACAGCCAATAGGAAGTTAGGGGGAACGGGGCGGAGAAGTCTATGCTATTGGGCAATTCCACGATCTCTGACGTACGTTTCAGACACTTTACAAAAAAATGTGGGCATAATTGCCAAGTGGCTTTTGACTTGGGCATAGCACGTCGACCAATCGGGGCTGACCAAGTCAGATGCAAATCATCTGCCCAACCTTCCTCGACGGGAGAAAACGCTCGCAAAATACGACGGCGTCGGGCGTGCTGGGTGGGCCAAACTGATATTTTTTTCTCATCCACGCCGGGATGGAGAGAGACGATGGATTTGAGTCGCTCGTATCAAACCGATGACTCGGTAGACAAGAACAAGTATTCTGAACATATCGGTGGTCACCTTCACAATGACACTCACAACGTAATACTATAACAAGTGTGAAACTTTGACTCCCAAAGGTTGCCCCAATCTGTGGAACTGCTCCAATGAAATTCAAATGCATTTGACTTGGGGCCCACGGGCGATAATGGAGCTGCTAACACGTTAATATCAACGTTACATTTTTGTGTAGCATCATCGAAGTGTGCTGGAATATACTACGATACACCATACTTCTCAACACCAAACAAGAAGAGTGTACCGGCACTTTTTACAACGGTTCCTACTCGTACGCCACGATGTTTCCACAGAGGGGAAAACGGGAGTGGACATGGGCTGCAGGGAGAACGAGATCTTCATACCGGGACTTCTACATTTTGACCGTTAATTAAACCAACACGCACACGCAATTAGTGCGTGTGTGCTGGGTTATGAGATAGTAGTTCGAAGCAACGCTTGCAAGCAAAACGAGGAAGAAAAATCTTGCACATTGCGCGGATTCTGTAGCAGTTTCCCAACGTGCGCACGTCCGCAGAAGTGTTAAATTGGCCGACAATAATGCTGGCGTTTCAAGCCCCCGCAACAAGGTGACGTCACAAGGCAGGTGACGTGCAACATTCTCGGCGATGTTACACGTAACGGCGACATCACCTCTGCTGGCAACGTGAATCCTTTTGACGTTGGCCCTTTTTACCGCCAGGTTATTGGCAACTCTCCGAATCAATGTGGGTTAAGCGCCTCATCGCAGAGCAACCTTATATACAACTTTATTGTTAGTTATTCTTAGCTCTTTCGGTAAAGTCACGTTGAAGGGAAACAATAAAATAATAAAATATATAAAACAATAAAAAAATTCACGACGTTTCGACCATAACACAAACGGTCATCATCAGGTGTGAAAAAAAAACGGCAAGAAACATTTGAAAGAAGTGTTTCTTGCCGTTGGTTTTTCACACCTGATGATGACCGTTTGTGTTATGGTCGAAACGTCGTGAGAATTTTTATTGTTTTATGTATATCTATTATTATTTTATTATTTCCCTTCAACGTGACTTTATCGAAAGAGCTAAGAATATGAATTACTGCAGTCACGAAAGCTTTAAATCAAAATTTATTGTTAGTTCTTATTGGATCATCTTTACAGATTTATCTTGCCACCCTCCCTCCCCCCAACCACCCTCTCCAAATTTACAATTCTAATGCATTAACTTTAAAATGTAAATTGAGCAAAGGCTTTCATGACTAATATTATGATTCATAATTATTTTTTTTGGTCAGATCTCAAGAGCACAAGGCCAATGTGTGTTGTACACCCTTCCCTACTACCCGACACGGTCAAATAAATAAAGTCGCCACCTAAAATTGGCGCGCCGATGTGTTGCTTTACCATGTCAGTAAGTTGAAGAGCAACCCATACGCATTCAACAGTGAGGTACGACGTTTCGCTGGCCACTACGTTCAGCATCGTCGGGCGATTTCCAGAGTTCAGCTCTAGCAGTGTAGCTCTGGAACGTCATACATGATTGTTAAATTCTGTGGATTGCCCTTCAACATAGCGGTGTGGTGAAGCAATTCACATCGGCGCGCTTATTCAAGTGACAACTTTACTCATTCGACTGTCGGGTGGAGGAGGGTGCGCAACACACATTGGCACTGTACTCACGTGATCTAGCCGAAACAAATAAACTATTCATTGCTTTCAACTGTAGCTGTATAGAGTATAAAATGATTTAAAAATCATAGGCGAGCTGTCATAGCGCTCTTATAGAAACGTGTGTTTAAGAATATTTGGCTGCTATAAATGACCACGTGATAAGCCACTTTGTTGAGCAATCATCTGTGGCCGGCCAAGTTGCTTCTAAAAAAAAGAGCTGTATATCTCATTGGGCCTGATCTACTAAAAAAAAATCACTTTTGTTTAATTAATGCCAATGCACTGCCATTGTTTGTCAATCCACTGCTGGATGAGGCCCCCCCCCCCCCACACCATACACCGTGTGAGTCACTGGTGATACATGACCATACTTCAGCGCACTGGTCAATGGGGATTGGTAAAGGTGGTTGGAGAGAAGTGCAAGAGAAATAAACTGAGCTAGACTTCCCTCTGCTGCCCACCAAATAGAACCAGGCTGAAGCAAACGTGTAGTGCATTTTGGCCACTAGTCTACTAACTGGGCTGTTTATCCATCTTTCTCAGTTGGTTTGTAATGGCTCCGTCAGACACCGAGCTGGTACTGTTGGGTTCCTAGGTTCAATGTCTATTTTATCTCTCTCTCTCTCTCACAGAGAGTTCATAATGGTCATGTCAGAGACACCACGCGCATGCACCACAAATATTCCATGTTCATGTAGGAGCAACTTAGCCAACACAATTTTTATCGTTGGTTAAAACCAAGGGGCGCTGCGGTGGAAAGATGCTAAATACCTCACCTGGTATACAGGTCATGGGTTCGATGCCGACCCTGACACCTGTATATTTGGCGTTTGCATGTTATCCCCGTGGTTGTGCGCATTTTTCTCCAGGCACTCTGGGTTTTCTCTCCACGTTTGGAATAAAAAATGCGTTCAGAGAACTTGGCTGCGAAACATTTCCACATGCTAAGGCACTTCGTTGGGCTATCGTTTGTGATAGCAAGGTCGCTTCTGCAAACAAACAGCTATATAGTTCAGTTGGGCCTTATTTGGTAAAATAAAACATAATTTAATCGTTAAATAAATATTTCGATGTTCATAAAGGCCATGTAAGGATATACTGAGCTGGCAGTATTAAAATTCTGAGTTCAAGGTCTAAATGTCTCTATCTCCCAAGGGGTTCATGATGAATGTGTTAAAAATACGAAGCCAGCAACTACCGATATCCTAGCTTTGAGCTCTTGGTCTGATCATGTCTCTCGCGCTCTCTTGCAGAGGGTTCAAAATGGCCATGTCAAAAACACGAAGCCAGCACTTCTGAGATTCTGGGATCAAGCCCGGGGTCTGGGCATCTCTCCATTTCTCGAAGAGGAATGGGTGTGGGAGCATAATGGTCGTCTCAGAGACACTAAGCCAGAAGAATTATGATGCTTGGTTCAAGTCCTGAGTATTGGCTGGGTATGTGTGGGTGTGTATGTGTGGGAGCGGCAGCCTAGCGGTTTGCGCGCTGCGCTACTAACCCAGTAACCAGAGTTCGAATCCTGCTCACGGCCAACATCAGTGACGATTAATCTAAACTCAGCCTCAAATGAGTACCTGGTACGGTGTGTAAAATCATTGCCACTGGGGAGACAAAGGCGGTCGGGCATGGTGTTGGCCATCCCGTGTGCCATGCGGGCCTTCATAGCGCTCGCTAACAGCACTTGCCCCAACAGTCAGTGAAGGCTATACTTGAGATTTGTCTTTGTGTACGTCTCTCTTTCAGTCATCTCAGTCGGTCAACCAATAATGAATGCAACCTTGGGGCTCTCTCCGATGACCTGCCAGTGAGCCTTCGACAAATTTACGTGGCCTCAAGGTGCACCTAGGTAGTGGGGCCTGAAGCGGCTGCTGTCAGTATTCTCTCAACACTGATAAAAATGCACAAACATTTTGGTTAAATATATTCCCCCCACCCCGCCTCCACGTACAATTGTCACAACCTGAAATTCATGAAATAAATAAATGAAAATCGTTCCTGGCAAAGCAACTGAAACCGTGGCAGCCTCGGTGGAAGCGTTGTGGGCGGAGGGGGGGGGAATGATTTGAGGCGCGGTGTTGAGCGAGCGGGTTCCGACACGCTCTCGCACTGCGTGAAGAGAGTGGGCAAAAAAAAAAACAACCCCGTACAGTCAGCGGCGAGATATTCAAAAATAATTAAACAACCCTAAATAAAAAATGAATTACTAAGCTGGCGGCAGCGGCGGTGGTAGCCTCGGGGCCACGTGTGTGAGTGTGGGAGGGTGGAGATGGAGGAGGGAGAGACAGAGGGAGGACGCAGAAGGAGAGGGTGATGGAAAGGAGAGAGGGAGCGATAAAAGCACGGCAGAGCAAACGGCGGGAGGTGGACAAGAAGAGATGAGAGGGAGGCAGAGAGGAGCGGGAGAAGTCGCGCGGGCAAAGATAGCAGAGGGAAAGTGCAAAGAGGGGGAAATACGAGAGGAAGACAGGAAGATCCGAGAGAGAGACGTGGGAGGGGTAAAGGGATGGAGAGAAGGAGAGAAGGCAATGAGAGACGGAGGAAGATGGAGAGCGAGGAAAAGAAAGATTGTGAGAGCAAAGCGAGAAGGGCGGAGAGGGAAAGTAGGCATGGGGAGAGGAAGGACGGAGAGAGCAGAACAGCAGAGATCGTAGAGGGCGACGGGGGAGATGACAGATGACACCGATTGAGAGGAGATGTAAAAGAGAGAAGGGAGGAGAGTGAGAGGGGGAGGAGACAGATTGTATAGATACACAAGAGAGTAAACAGTGGGAGAAAGGGAGAGTGGCAGGAGAGTAGGAGCGCACCTTTTATTTGTTAATTTACTTTACGTATCCGTGTTTCTGCTAGAGAAAGCGACGGGAGGAGAGCCGGTGAGAGAGAGAGTGGGTGGGTGGGAAGTGGAGAGACGATGAGAGAGTGTGGAGGGATGAGTGGGAGGGATGAGTGGGAGAGACGAGGGAGTGGGAGATATTCAGGAGGGATGAGTTGAGTGTGAGGGAAATGGATTGGGAGAGAGGAGACAAATGAGTCAGAGACGTCAGAGTTAGGGACAGAAATCGAGACAACTGGGCCATCAGACAACAGGCCGTGCGCGAGTGAAAGCACAAGGACAAGAGGGAGATCGAACCGAAGATGCGCGAGATAGAGAAATAGGCGGGACATGCAAAGAGAGATAAGGTCATAAGTACGGCACAGGAAGACGCAAAGAAGGTCAGAGACAAGGAATTTACAGGGACAAGGGATGCAGAGTCTACACAGACCATGTGCTCCTCCACTAAACTGTGCGTGGGACGTGTGGTAGCGTCTGCCCAGGGAGGTTAATTTCCCAAAATTCATGGTAACGATACAATATGATGGACGTGCTTGTTAGCAAGAGAGACTGAGGGAACGCATTGAGCCGTAGACACATTGACGCCGAGACTGTGATCCAGTTGAGAAATTTAAAAAGCATAAAAACACACGTTAACACCGACACGAGCACAGAGACATGCTTTAGGTTATAGACCCTAAGACAGAGGCCACATATACAGCCAGTGAGACCCAAGATACTGAAACAATGATATGCAAAGAGACACGATGGTACACACGTATACACTTAGATACAGATGCAAAGACAACAACGGAGATAGAGACATTCGTTTTTAGAGACGCACAAAGCGAGCGGAAAGGCACTCAGAGAGACAGAGACACACACTAGGGTAAAGGACATATTAAGACAGGAGAGAAACAGATCCTCTGAGACGTCGACACAGTGAAACATTGGTACTAAAACACTCTGAGATAGAGAGATACGCAGATACGGACAATAAAATGATACAAACACACGCTTAAGAGGGAAAGACGCTGCGATTTAGAAACAGGAAAGAGGGATAGACGGGGATGGAGAGGATGGGCATGAATGCAGGGGGAGAGACACGGGGACATTCACAGCTAAAGGAAACAGACGTAGCTACATGTAACACAGTCCGCTGACAATCCACTACTGGTTGAGGGCTTCTTCACGGCCGGGCGGGTCGTTAAGGTTATTTTGTGCCACACTTCAACACGTCGGTCAGCGCGTGTCGGTGACGGCATGTATCACACAAGCACAACAATATCACTTTCTAACACCGCCCCCGCCGGACACGTGCGTTAAAGAGCTTTATAGTTCATCGGATTCCTCCAGCACCGTATACAGATTCCGATTCGGAAAATACGCAAACACATCTAAATCACGTACAGCGAGTGCATCCACATTCACACACACGTACATAAAACACGTTAACTGCCTAGAATAAAGACCCCCCACCCCCCCGTATAGCCTGAACAGACTGTAGGGGCAAGTGCTGTGAGCGATTACCGATTAAGTCCGGCACAGCACACTACGAGGGGGTGGGTGGCCAGCACCACGCCCGGCCGCCTTTATCGCCCCAGTGGCGATGTATCCACATCGCACCAGGTACTCATTTGAGGCCGAGTCGACCTACGGGAGGCCCAGGGCCGGTTCAGGTAATCGTCAGTGTGGTGTTGGTGGCCGTGAGCGGGAATCGAACCCGGGTCACCAGGTTCGTAGCGCAGCGTAGCGCGAACCGCTACACTGCCGCTCCTAGCCCACGCGCGCAGACGCACAGGCACCCATCCAGACTCACAAGGGCACGCATGTGTAATATATTCACAAACGCACATACATAAACCATCCGTAAACACACGCACCAGCACAACAGGTCGCCCCATTCGCACGGAGTGACGTTGACGTAACCCGCAGCGCTTCGTGCCCGGCTAGGTGCACTCCCGCGACCACGTGATGCGTCGAAGGCTTACTTAGCAGGTCACGGGGCAGGCCTAGGTGTTACGAGTTAACCGACAGCTCACACAAGAGACGCGCGCATTTGTACACCGACACACACCAAACACGCACACACACACGCGAAAACCATCATTCGGTGCTGACGTCACCACGGCGCTTGTACCAGGCTAGGTACACACGCACATACTCGCGCGGAGACAAACACGACCGCAGGGAGAGGGCGCGCGCACACACACACACAACCACCAAGCCGCGGTGACATCACCGCGGCGACTGTGCCAGGCTAGGTGCGCGCTCACACACACACACGCACGAGCGAGCGCACATACGCACTCACCCCTCAATGCCACTCCTCGCCCAAATCCGAGCGACAACCTCGTTCCGCTCGCTCAGCGCGGCGTTGTAGACCGCGCGTGCGAGCGAGGCGGCTGGAGAGAGAGAGGGACAGAGCGAGGAGAGAGAGAGCGAGGAAAGAGAGAGAGAGATGAGAGCGGGAGACTCGGTCGTGGAGCTGTAATCGCGGCCCTGCCTCTCTACGCGAGCCGCGCCTCACGCCATTGTCGCTGGGCAGACAGGGGCAGGGGGGGGGGGCTCGTAGCGGAACTGGACGTGACGTCACCGGAAAGGGCGTTGATTATAGAACTCGCTCCTCCCCCACTCCGCCGCCGCGTGCTTAGGGCTTGAGATCGAGAAGGCGGGGCTTAAATCTGGGTGAGCGGGGCTTGCGGGCCCTATGGGCGGGGCCTGGGCTTTCTTTGGGCGGAGTTTGTGGATCATAGGGGCGGGGTGGGCTGATGATAAAACGGGCGGGGCTCGTGAGAATGTGGGCGTGGCTTTGTGGGCGTGTGGGCGGGGCTAATGTTTGAATTGGATGGGAGGGTGGTGAAAAGTTGCCCGCATTTGGGTCAAACAGCTTGAACTTTCAGCGGGTTTTGCACTTAGTTCGCCACTCAAATCTGTTTGTAAGTGGGTTGCGGGGCAGAGAAACAAGTGACACTGAGACTGCACGAGGAAAGCAACAAAATACATATTCATAAATTAGACCAAGTTTAAAAAATATAAATTGTACCCGCTATTTTCTCCATCGGAATCTACAGAAACGTCGTACATAGCAATCATCGCCCCCTACTGCGATAATTTGGCAGGACCCCCCTAAAAAAATATAGTCATTAGACTCAGTGAGGCTGTCATGGGTAAACAACACGAGGGGGTGGGTGGCCAGCACCACGCCCGTCCGCCTTTGTCTCCCTAGTGACAATGGATACACACACAGCACCAGTTACTTATTTAAGGCTGAGTTGACCGAGGGGAGACCCAGGATTGGTTCAGATGATCGTCACTGCTGTTGGTGGCCGTGCAATGGCACCTGCTCATCGGAAGGGAATTTCACAACATTTTGTGCGATCCCCTAACCCTCGTCTCCGTAGTGCCGGATTACAGCCATGCATCGCTACCACTGCCCCGAAATAAGACATTTTTCCAATCAGTGCACAATACCTACTATCCAATGTGTATTGGAAACACGGATACCGACAGCGAACTTGAAACTAAATCTGGTAAGGGCACCAATCCGCAATGTGGAGGTGCATGCTTGCAATCATGCAGATAAATAGGAACCCATGGATGAAACATTTGTTCGGGTAGGACCCATCATCACATCGTGAAGGATGACCGATCTATGGACGAGACCGGTCACGGAATTACAGAGGAGGGATCACGCGTAAGAGGATGACCAAGCGCAATGTTGTGGTGGGTGGTGGTTGAGTGCGGCTGTCGGTAGTGCGTGTGGGTGATGATGGTGGTGTGGATGGCGACGATTATGTGAACCTGTCCTGGGCCTCCCCTAGATCGACTCAGCCTCAAATGAGTACTTGGTGCGATGTACTAAACATTGCCACGAGGGGATAAAGGCGGCTGGCCGTGGTGTTGGCCACCCATCCCCTCGTGTGCCGTACCGGCCTTTCACACCTCCGATTAGCACGGTTGGCCACATACGGTACGAGATAAGTTCAATATACAAGCATTTGACCACTGTGGAGATGTAGCGACGAGATCAGTGTGGGAGTGAGATGGATTGTGACATCGCGACACTGTATGGGATGGTGACATATGTGCGGATTCCTGACTCAAGCAGTGGATCAAACATGGCTGATGATCATTGATCAAAGCAGACCTGTGTCTTATTCCTACGGCAGCAACCAACCGGTCTGTCCGATATATTGAAAACGTGAACCCCACGTTGTGTACGCGTGATCGGGTGGCTCAGAAGTCGGGAGTCGACATCGCTGATATGGATTCGAATCTGTGCTTCGGTCACGCGTGATAAAACATCATCAAGTATACGGCAACAACTGCCCAAAAACAATCGCATTAAATATAAAATTATTTTTCATTCTTGCAGAATGTGAGGTTAAACAAAAAATGTTTCATTCAGAATCAGAATATTTATTTGGACTGCAGGAGGAAAATCCGATGACCAATGAAGCTCTTTTTCACAGATGTTCCAGTTTGGGTGGGTCAGCATGCGACTGCCACTCATTCCAGGTCATCACAAGTGCACAAGTGATAACCCTGGTGTGGATACAGAGGCCACATTAAGTGAATTTCGAGGTACCATAAAACTCCGATGACTAACACAGGGTGGTGCACTTCTCTTCTTGTTCGTCCATCATAGTTGATGGTGACCGTGGCGCGTTTGTCATTTTGTTGGGTTTTGATGAGTGCCCAGATGGCTGAACAGGCCAATCCGAGCCCGGAATTCTCTGTGGCAGCACTGGACAGGTCAGGGAGGATGTCGAGCTCTGAGGTGCAGCCACTTTAGATGTGCAGAACTACAACACCCCCCCCCCCCACCGTCAGTCAACTGATCGACGGCCACTTCCCCACAGCGTGTGGGTTGCGGGGGGTTATTAGACCATACTTCACGCTAAGTCACTGCGAGTTAGTGAAGGCGAGGAGCGTAGAAGCACAGCCCAAGAATGGATTTTGGTGCAAAGCACTCTCTACGTCGCCCAAATGCCTGTCAACACCTGTTCATGCATCGTAGTCGCCCCATCAAAAACTATTCATGCACAACCCTGCATATGTTCTGAGATAAAACAAAATTTATATTAGGTCCAATCTGGGTGTTTTGTCAATCGGTGACTTTGTCTGATACTGGGGACAAGTAAAAAAGAAACAACTAAAACATGTAATTGACCACTCTCCTGTTGGTCGATCACTTGAGGCCGCCTTGACAAATAACAGCCTTCCGAAGGCAGGAAAGCCCCTACAAGGCACGCCCAGTGTGACTCAGCTGCTGGTGACGTCACCAAGCCCCGCCCTTCACCTCCCGTCCAGCGGCACACGCGGTAACCAGAAATCAGACTTTTTGTCCCCCCCACCCACACATCCACTCGCCCAACTATTTGCAAGCTATCCGATTAAATGTAACTGGAAAATCGGTAGATGAATCATTTACTGAAATAAACCAGTTCTAATTTTGTTACATAATACAATTAATAAATAAACAATTTTAAAACATTTTTTACGGGAGGGCGTTTTTAAGCGGTACACAGAGACTGCCAATAGAAACCTCAAACAACAAAGACAAAGATCCCCCGTATAGACTTTCAAAGACTGTTGGGTCAAGTGCTGTGAGCAAGCACCTATGAAGGCCGGCGCGGTATACGAGGGGGGTTAGGTGGCCAGCACCACGCCCGGCCGCCTTTGTCTCCCCCAATCGCGATGCTTACACCACCGGAACCAGGTACTCATTTGAGGCTGAGTCGACGTTAGGCAAGGCCCAGTACCGGTCCAATAGATCCCCCACGCAACGCAACACACCGTGCAAGAATGCAAAATGCACCATGGTTTAGCCCACAAAACCACGGCTCCCCCCCCCATTGGGGCAGTGGTAGAGTCCACCTAGAGAGCCGAACTGCAGTACCTAACCCTTGAACCCCAGGGAAGACATCCAATGGGACAACCCCATTGGTTATTGCCATGGCAACCTGCACCCCCCGCTATTACCTTAGCATGGGCTGCCAGACTTTAAAGGGGCCCTGCACTGTCAGCAGATAAGGCAAAAGTGTGCAAAATTTTTCACGTGTGGAGGCTTCTCCTTTGAAATTTGGACGGATTTTAGTCTCTGTGTCCCTTTTTGCCGTGAGATAAGGGATTGGGAGCCATGTTTAGAAATACATGTTTTTAACTGTATTGCATCCCTCCCAAAATAACTCTGTTGCCCTGAAGATAGAGGGATTTTGAAACTGCAATTCCATTTAAAAGTCAACTGGGGCTGCTTTCCATGGGCTAGAAGTGTGGAGATGTCCTCTTTGTTGTCCATTTACTTTTGCCAAACGTTTATAGCAATTTCGCCGGGGGATGTTACGACATCGGAGCAGCAGCAGCGCAACCCTTCGTTTTAGGGAACAGCCCACAGAAGGGGACATCGGAGAGTTATCTCTGAAATGCTTTCAAGTGACCTATACGCCACACAATAAGGAGGGCACCACTCTCCCACCCACTCTCCCACCCACTCTCCCACCCACTCTTCTACCCACTCTTCCACCCACTCTTCCACCCACTCTTCCACCCACTCTTCCACCCACTCTTCCACCCACTCTTCCACCCACTCTTCCACCCACTCTTCCACCCACTGAGAAGTATTCCCGTCACATGACAGTGTCAACCCAATATTTTAATGCTCAGAGCTGGAATTTTTGCCAGAAAATGCAGTGCAGAAATGTTTTGAATGTGATGGGTTTTTGTTTGTGTTTGTCCATTGGTGAATGGGCTTATATAACATAAAATCACTACACTTGAGGAGCTGGTTTAATCACAGGCGGCTGAAACGCGGATTTGAACCCCAGATCCGAGCAGTGTTCGCTCAGCATTTTTGAGCTCTGAGCCACACGGCCACCTAAGGTAATGGTGAAAAAAAAGTTAACCAACAAAACACGAACTAGATTTGTACAGTCCTTTAAACTACTAAAACTATCTTTCAAAAACATTTTACCAGGTCAGGTCCGCTGAGCTACATAGCTCTTTTCCAGAAGCAACCTGGTCACAAATGATAGCTCAACAGTGGCTTATCATGTGGAAATTTATAGCAGCCAAATACTCTAAACGCATGTTTTCTAAATATGGAGGAAAAAACCAGGATCCGGAGAAAAATCCACGTGACCACGGGGAGAACATGCAAACTCCAAATATACAGGCGTTAGGATTGAAATTGAACCCACCACCACCTGAATGCCAGGCGAGGTAGTTAAACAACTCGCCGTTGTGGCGCCCCCTTTATTAATCTACTGCTGGATGAAAAGGCCTCCCAACACTGTTGGCCTTGGGGGTATTTTTCACCATACTTCATCATGCTATTCAGTGCAAGTTGGTGAAGGGGGAAGGGAGGCTTATTATAGGTTCAGATATCAACTCACCACTGATTTTAGCCGCGGCCGGGAATGAAACTCGAAATAGACTAGCTTTTATTTTTTTTACCACCATCTGATTTACAATTTATATTTCTAATGAGGAGTTTACAGTCCATTGTTCAATACACTGCTGTATGAAGGCCTTCACAAACTGTTTATTGTGCGGGTTGTTTCACCATACTTCACCACGCTGGTAAGTATGGGTTGGTGAAGGAGGGAGGGATGCTCACGA